TTAGATATAGTCGGGCCACTACCTGAAGCAGGTCCCGCCAAATTGAAGTACATACTAACCATCCAAGATGATCTAACAAAATTCTCTTCTGCTTACCCGATTCGAACCACTACTGCAGAAGAAACTAGTGAATGTCTTCTTCACTATATATCTATCTTTGGCATTCCAAAAATGATCCTCACAGATCAGGGAACTAACTTCACATCGGACCTATTCCGCAAAACTTGTGAATTCCTTAAAATAAAGAACCTTTGGTCGTCCCCGTACCATCCGCAGACGCAAGGCGCCCTTGAGCGCAGTCACTCGACTCTCAAAGAATACCTTAGATCTTTCGTAAATGAAGAACAGTCCAACTGGCCCAGATACGTGTACACAGCCATGCTTACCTATAACACATCCGTTCATTCAACAACCAATTTCACCCCATTCGAACTAACTTTCGGAAGCAAACCTCTGATCCCAAATTCTATCTATGACGAAGCCCCAGGAGCAACTTACCCTGACTATGTCCGCATGCTTCAGAATAGATTAAAGTATTGTAGAGACAAAGCCTTGGACTCCATAAGGAGATCCAAAGAATCTTCCAAAAATTACTATGACACTCGCACTCGCCCTGCGAAATACAAAGTCGGTGATTACGTGTACCTGAAGAATCACCTGCGAATGCGCAAGGCACTTTCACCACAGTGGAAAGGGCCTTACAAGGTAATTAGAATCAACGGAAACAACACACTTACCTTACTCATCAACCGACGTCACGTCATACATCATTATGACCAAGTGAAGCTGGCAGAAGCAGCTCCGTAATTTAGGAAATAAACACATAATCTTAAAATTACTCTAGACTTACCTTAGGTTATCTTTACAGTTCAGCTCAGAGTCAACCTAACCAGAGTTTCATCGAGCCAATCAACTCTAGTTCCGGACTCTACTTCGATTATTTAGGAAAGCTACGAATAAACAATATTCAACTTAGTATAGTAATACCTGTAGACATATCTCATTTCAAACCACATATTGATAATATCAAATCAGCGCTTTTAGTTACTGGAAATTTATGTAAACAAACCAGAATTATAGAGATTATCTCCATTTGTTATAATAATTTAAAACCATTGTCGGCCCGTTTCCAAGATATGAGTAAGGAATTAACATCAATCTCACATTTAATTGATAACAGGACAAAACGTTCCGCCTGGATTAGTGGTGCAGGAACAATCTTAAAGAAAATATTCGGCACCCTAGATGAAAACGATGGCCTACAATATGACGAAACTATCAAAACATTACAACTCAATGAAAAGAAATTAGCTTCATTATTAAAAGAGAATATCTTAATAACCACTTCTGTTTTAACTCAGTATAACGTTACATTAAGTAAAATAATAGAGAACGAGGCAAACTCAAAAGAAGCCATTGATAGACTTTCAGTGAGTGTTAGAAACATTACTGAAACCACAAATGGTTTACAAATACAAACAAATGTCAATGAAGTTATCAATGCGCTCGAGACATCGATACTTACTCTATCTTTTCAACTAGAAGATATCACTAACGCTATCCTATTTAGCACCCAAAATATTTTACACCCTGCAATAGTAACCCCTACACAACTCCACAAGGAACTAGTAGATAACTATAGACATTTACCCAGTGACCTTGAGTTGCCTGTATCTTTAGATATTAAGTCCATACATGTTATCTTAAGTATTTCTAAGTTAGTTTGTTTCTATACTAGTAATAAGGTAGTATTTATATTGCAAGTGCCAATGGTAAAAACTCAAGAATATCTGCTATTTCATAATATTGCATTACCAACACCACACAATACTTCAAACCCAAACACTTTCAGTTTAATTCTCCCTGATAACAAATACATAGCAATGACCAAAGACAAATCCTACTATTGTGTTTTCAATAGTTTGGAAATTTGTAAAATAGTGACTTCTGGAAATTATATCTGTGATATTGAAAATGTGTATTCTACTGATGCAAAACCTACATGTGAAAGTGAACTCCTTACCAAGGTAATTAGCGTGAAACCTGCTCAATGTCATACGAAGACCCTCATTGGAAAAGTAAATATCTGGAAATCCCTGATCAATAATAAATGGATCTTTGTACAGTCAAAACCTAACAAAATATCGATAGACTGTTTAAATAACAAATTAAAAGAAACCACCATTTCAGGTACAGGGATATTAAGTATCCCCAAAAATTGCATTGTCCACTGTAAAGCTACCACACTTATACCTAAACAAAACAATTTTAATATAACTTCACCAATCAGACATTTTCCAGATTTTAACTTAATTGAAGACTCTTGTTGTTCCATAAAAACAGTATATGAAAATGCCAGTAATATACTCCCTGTAAAACTAAATAACATAGACCTAGATGATTTACATACCAATTATAATGATAAGATAAAGTCTATTTTAAATGACCTTGAATTTGTAACAAATCCAACAACCCCTCATATTGTAACATATGGTAAACACTATTCTATTGTAACACTGGCAATTGTAATCTTTATACTTATATTTCTTAATTACCTAGTTTATAAGAAAATTTGTCAACGATATAACCGTTCCCGTAGGAATAGAGCAAATATTTGTATAACATCATCTCAGCCTGAACCTTCAATAGAAATGACAGATAGACAAACAGGTTTCGAAGATAGTACACCTAATACAAGTAATACTGCTCCACTTAGGGTAATAATATAACAGAGACTTTGAACCAACCCCAAAGCCTCTTCTTAAAGGGGGAGGTGTTATATCCCTGATATGTAAGGGTTTATGCTGGGATGACATAAAACTACATCGTCATCATTATTATATCTTAGCGTGTAAGGTGGCATGCCAGACCCCTCAGTCTGGACAAGATCTCCGAACGGTACGGTTGTATACTCAGTCCTTTAACTAATTAAAATAGTTCTAATATAATATTAGTTTTTTTTAAAAAGAAATCCTAAAGGACTCTCGTAACAGTACGTACTTAATTAATAACAGAAATAGTTCGTAGAATGTCGTCGTCGCGCGGTGGAGATCGTCCATTAAGAAGCCAGATAACGAGCTTTAATTGATTAATGTGCGACACACCTCACAGTTTTGATACCGACAGCAACAAACTATGGAAACACACATATAGCTTAAATGGTTATTTTACTGGATAGGTAGGTAATAACAGTTAGTGTGATGATCATAACGTGCGGTGTAACAAAACAAACATGTAAAGAATACAAGCGTCCCGTCCCGTCCCGGCCCGTCCCGCCCCGCGCCGAATATTCCAAGCTAAATATAATAGTGTATTTGATTTGATCGCTGTCGATGAGACGAGCGGGTGTCGGCGCCGCGTGCACTCAGCTGAAATATTACATTAGAGCATTGACAGCTACGAGGACGAGCCTGCCACCGCCCGCCTCGCCATACACTGCTACACTGGGGACAAGGTTTCGAAGACAAGGAAACTTTAAGCAATAATATAATCAACACATACGACACAAAGTACTATTTCGATCAAATAAGTTATGTGTAATGTAATGAAGTATGCAGAATTAGTCGCGACCGGCTAATACTGCAATTTGTATGTCCAAGTAATCGTTAGCAGATGTTGTTGGTGCTGTAGAGTGCGACCGATGAACTCCTTCGGAATACTATATCTGTTTTATCTCGACTGCACGGTTGGCGCGGTGGTTGGGCAATTGGCTTCCGCGCAGCGTGTCATGGGTTCGATTCCCGCACGGAGCAGCTCTTTGTGTGATCCACAAATGTTTTGTTTCGGATCTGGGTGTAATTGTGTATGTGGACTTGTATGTTTGTAAACGCACCCAAGTCACGCGGGTGTACCTATAGTGTCGGTCAACTTAAAAAAAATAAAAAAAAAACATGCAATTGAACATGATTGCAACTATTTGACTATTAAAGTAGAGATGCATGTAGAGAGATGGGAGGAAGTGTATCTGCCGAGGATTATAGGTATATATATTGTGGTTTACAGCTCCTGGCGTCCTACATAAACAATAATATAATGTATGTACGCACTCGTGTTATCTGCCGGCGACTAATCTCAGATTTTGCTAACAGACTTTGTAACAAGTATTGTTTGGCAAATCGATATGTAATGGGTATTGGGAGCTCCCGCCGAGTCGGTCGCAGTAGCAGGCTGATATACATCACAATCATTCATAACGGCAGACGAGTTATTGCTTACCAGTTCTTGCTCCTACAGTTTAGTGATAAGGTTTGAGTTGATATCAGATTCATCTTTAACTTGTGGACTGTGTTATCGTCACTTTACGTCACACATCTTTGACTTGTTACCGTGTTGGGACTCTCGGTTATTGGTGACTATCATTATTTAATTGTCGTATATCAGATTTTTCTGTTAAACATTATTTGTCTTACAAATTCCTAGTATGACAAGCGCATTGAGGAATTTATTCGTGAACTTTGACCACACAGTCCAGGTGACGGCAGCAGGGCGTTTGTCTCGACCCGAGCAGTTCAGTGTGTATCTAGAGCAGGGCAGCCTATTTGATCCCCATCAATCTGCAGCTACTCGTAAAAATAACAAATATGTCGATGATTTCATTCGCAGAGTCGAGTGACGTCCGTCCATCAAAACATTTTACATATTTTATTGATACACATTTTATTATTGTCTTCACATTCTAGTAATGTTATGTTCCAATATTGAATCTATGATACAAATGTAGGTATACATAAATATTACAGTACACAGTGTTTGTTTGCAAACTATGCAATACTGGCGGCAGTGCCGACTGCCGACTGCCGAGCGAGCTGAACGTAGTCTAAGATTGCTTCTCCCTACCTAGTCCCATATCGATTGCCTATCGCAGCACGACCGATATTTTTTTTTCCTTTTAAAATGGATTATAGCTCCTATACCCTAGCGATGCGATGCAGGGGTAGGCGGCTGCGGGTCGCCTCGCGCCTCGACTCGCCAGTCAAATATACCTAGAATAAGTAACTTACTTTTTGGTAGAGGAAGGGTCGTGTGAGCGCGAGGTACCGCTCCAGTGCCATGGTGACGGCGATGCAGACGGAGCCGATGCCGAACACGCGCAGCACGACGCGCGCCGCGCAGTACGCGCGCGTGCTGCCCACGCCCGGCACGTGCTCCGCCACCAGCATCGCGCACATCATGCCCACCTGCACACACAGCTGGTAGTCACTCACTGTCCGGGATCACAGAAGTAAGAACGAGATGGGAAATAATGATTGAAAGAATCCTAGAAACCTCTGGTGCTGGCGTGTGTATTACTTTTCAAACAGTACATGTCGAGTTGGGCCAATCACACACAGAGAGGGTGGGAATACAGTGCATCGCCTAGTCTCGCTACCATTAATTGGTACTTGTTATGTAGATACATACTTACAAATGAGAGCTCCGCCTTCGTTTGTCCCACGTAACAACAAACTACTTCGAGTAATAGTAATGGGCACGTAATAAACTGCTCATACTGCTCATAGCTTTAATCAAATAAACAGCGGCAGTGGCCGTAAACGAGGCTCATCACGAAGCCTATCGCCTCTGTTCTCATATCATGGCAGCATAATACTACGTACTAAATATATAGATAGTGCATAAAGTGCTGTATTTATATGCCCTGCGCCTTTGTATGCTTTGAAAGAGTCGTCGTGTGTTGAGTGTTTCGTCGTTTGTCTTTGAAACTTCTTTAACATTTACTAAGATATTTCCAGTCATTTATTTATTCATTGCCGATTGCCTACATGATCTATATAAACATCAACGGACCAACGGTATACATTGCTGATGTATTGCCGCGCACCTAAACTTCAGTAAATATAAAACTTGTGCTGTACTTTTTGTAGCATATACGTTTGTTCTAAACCTAGGAGGAAATATAGCAGTACTTCAGGTAGGTGTTACCAGACGATTCCGCAAGTACATGACGACACCACTACCACCACTAGATACGCATTATTTGTATATCATGTTCCGTCTCCAAATGTTTCCGTACTCGATTGTCAAGAAAATTATTGTGCCTATTGATTTTTTTATTTTCTTACTAAACTTCATCAGCCTCAAGGATCGCCAGACGTATTTATATAAAAAAATAGTCACCATTGAATGGTAGAACATAAAATTGGTCGTCGGCTCAGTGTAACCAGTAGTCTAGTAGTCTAATAGGCAATCATTGGCAACTCGGAATATCACCATCCACCACTCAATGATACGTAATTTGTTCATGAGTAAAGAACTTACGTCCGTCGAGTCCTGGATCTTGGTCTATCTAGTCAAATTAGGGTTTCATCGTGGTTTCATCTTGGTATAGTATGAGATATAATAAGAAATGTTATGTCAGCGTCTTGCGTATGTTTTGTTTTAGGCAAAAAAGGTAAAACAGGCACCAACCTCTAACGTAATGTTTTAAGTTCAGCACTCTCATCTCTGCTACGGATTTCTACTTATGTAATTAATTATTTACAAACAAAGATATTTTAATTTATTACTAGCTGTTCATCGTTTACGCTACAATGTACATTGTACCTACATATACAACTATTTTTACGTAGCTTTCCGTCCGCGCGGTAACCAACACTATAAAACTATTCACTTATACCTAAACCTATTGGTAACTAAAAGCAGTCGTTTATGGATTTGACACGTTCATACGGACAGATGCGGAAGAGAACATATTTTATTATTATATATGTATGGTATAATAAGGTACCTACTTCAATTCAAATATCCTACATACATACAGATTTCCCTTCGGGCAAAACTTTAACTTATTTGGTTTGGAGTTTACGTCCTATTTGTTTGTTATGCTATGTTAGGGCATTAATGAAGTGTATTTATTTATAGTGGATTGACTACTGAACAGGTACGTAATACAAATTATTCATTATATTATTTGTAATTTAATAACAGTTGCACAGACTGACCACTGCGCGCAACGTATGTTTTCAATGCAACAGTAGCAGAGAGTGCAGACAGTGCAGGCAGTGATAATAAAGTGAAAAAAATCGTGGAACTCACCAGCGCTACGAGGTCATTGGCAGCGAGCGAGGTGAGCAGCAGTAGATGCTTCCTGTTGCGCACGCGGCGCTCCCCGCGGCGCAGCGCGATGATGGCGCATGCGTTGCCGATGATGCCGATGGCGTACACCACCTTCACCAGCACCCCGAACTTGCCCATGGTCTTGTGTGGCGCGCCCAGCGCAGTGCTGTTCCCCGCGTGGCTCATGTTGGCCGCCATATTGAACATCTCGGTCACGTTCTCCAGCTCCGTGAGCGAGGCCAGCGTGCTCACGTCCATGTTTGACGCGTGTTACTTCGTATGTGTCTGTAGTTACGTCCCGTGTGTCTCCCGTGTGGCTGAGGACGACTCTGTCTACCTGAGCTGCTGTCGCGGAGTCGTTGTGCCGCAGACGCTCGGAATGGTCGGACTCATGGCACACCACAGCTCACCTCTACTCTGTCAACAAACATATCTTACTTGTTACGATGTATGGAGGAAGTGCTTCCTATCACTTTACTATCAATATGTATAAAAAAACTACATAATTCCAGTCACACACGGCGACGATGTACTATATTTAGGGGATGAATTACAAATCCAATTTCCCGAGTGATATGTGTGGATTGTGCACCCGCACAGCATAAGAGATGCTACCTGCGCATCACACATTGTAGTGCAGCTCTTTACTCTGTCGTTTGTTAAGCTAACACACTGTACACAACCAACACATTAACCATTCAACACTACGACTACTTGCGAAACACTACGATTTCCAACTTCTTATTAATGTTTATTAGGTACTGTATTGTCCCTTGGCTTACTTAGATGACTAGTTATTTAACATAACTATTTCTTCCCACTGGGCACTGCACTGGGGACTTAACAAAAAACAACTTTTTTTTGTGAGAAAGGAGGAAAAAGGAGGAGAGATAGTGATCTATATGCACGTTTAAAAAAAAATTCAGTCATCATCAGATAAGGAGCCAGGAAACTAGATCCGTTACACCATAGACCAAAATCACAGCTAGGTCATGCGTAGTGCTAGGTGCGTGCGCCGTCCCTACATTACAGGCCGTGTTATACTACAAGTTGAGTGAGTGGGACTCAGGCCGAGGGCTTTTCACTTCTCCTCAATATAATGCTTTTTATTCCCTGCATGGAAACAGCGACCAATTTTTGGGTTTGAAACTATAACACCCACGCTCGGCAGTCACATCTGTTTACAAACTACGCATTCTACAAATGTAGCAGACTTATATTGTATATAACTATATCTTTTTTTTTATTTTCTTTATGGGAGGAAAATCATTGAATGACTTCCCGCCTGGGTGAGGCGGGAGGGAGTGTCAGACTCTTACTGACTAAAAACCACCCCGTTCCTGCACTTCGAGCCGGAGCCCCGGTAACCCGTTAGGTTATCCGCGGCTCCGTATCGGCATCAGCCCTATTGGGCCCCATCTGTGGTGGTCTGATAGCACTTTGAGGCGCGCGCGGTACGCGAGGCGCAGTACGCTCGAGTCTGGTTCTGGTCGGGCAGCGAGCCATCCATGCTCGTCGTCCGCAGGCCCGCGCTTACGGTGGCCGGAGATCGTCCCGCGATCCCCGACGCCTGGAGTGTCCTTCGCGATGGCTGGGTTGTGAGGTGGCAGTGCTTCGGTTCCTCAAGCGCCCCTCCTTCTACTTAGCTAGCAAGACTGCTTCGCAAAAGGAGGAGACGGCATCCCAGTCCCCCTCGCTCCGCATCATGACCATCGCCGATCACGTCCCTGAGGGCACGGCGGTGCTCAGCCCACGCAGGGCATTCCGCTACTGTGTGTTCCACAGTGTCCTTAGGGCGGTCCTCGCAGTGATGACACCCGGGTGTTTCCTCCCACCCCATCAGACACAGGTACCTCCCGAAACTTCCATGTCCGGTGTGGACCTGCGTCAGGAGGTAGGTGAGGACGCCGTAGCGTCTCTAAAGCCACTCCTTATAGAGAGGACTTAAGTATATGTATAGTATATAAGTCTAAGTCTGCCTAATACAACTAGCGGAATTATTACAATAACTGGTTGCGTTACGTATCATAGCTAATTTCGTAGAAACAAGATTTTTGTTTTTTTTTATCTTCTATAATATTCCAATATCTAAATTGTCAAGGAAATGTGCTAATGTGGTGCAGTGCCATTAGTCACAGAGATAAATGATTAATGACTCCTTAATTTTGTTTAATTTAAATATTTTGTAATTGTTTTTAGAAATGTATTTATTATTTTCTCCAGAGCCGGAGACTTGAATCAGTAAAATAAAAGTATCACAAGGATAACAAATGGAGAGGGCTATACCTAAATAAGTATCTATATGTATAGATAGTCTAATAAAGTGCACATTATATTATCAACGTACCGTTTTTAAATACTGTATTGAAATAGGACTTATTAATTTCTACGGACCAACAACGTACAGTTTTATTCTAAATCGAAATCTACCGTTGCAGTTGACTCCGGTTTCGAAAACTATAAGCTTTCGAAAACTATAGGCTTGTGATGCAAAAACAATTAACTATAATGAACACGTCAACAGCAAGCCGTGTTTATCCCTAAGATCAGCCCCGGATCTTCAATTTTTTTTAAGCGGGGCAAAAACTGAAAAATGCCGCCCCACCTACCTACTTATGTTTACTTTAACCGACTTCAAAAAAAGGAGGAGGTTCTCAATTCGACCGTATATATGCTTTTTTATGTTTGTTCGCCGATATCTCCGTTATTTATGAACCGATTTTGGAAAATCTTTTTTGTTAGAAAATGAGATAGTCCCAGAATGGTCCTATGATAAGGAAATATGATGATCTGATGGTGGAAGAACAGGGAAACCGAGGGAAACTTTTAAAAATTATAGGGGGCAACTAGTGCATTCGTAAATTTTTTTATTAAGTATTGAAAACCACTACAATCTGATGGCCAATCGAGGGAACTCCTCAACGGTTAACAGAAGCTACATTGTGTTTGGGTTTGATTAATTTATATTGATGAGGACTTTACACTTGGGTGGGGTGTAATTGTCAATAAGAGTCTGATGATGAAGTAGTACGATAGTTGAGGGAACTTCTTAACGGTTAACCGTAGCTATCTGGCGTTTGGGTTTGATTAATTTGTATTGACGAGTATGTTAAACCTAGATGGGATGTGATTGTCATTAAGGGTCTGATGCTGAAGTAGTAAGACAGGTGAGGGAACTTCTTGCATCCATGTGGGTTGTGTATGTTATAATATATCAAACTACTAAACTAAAAAGTATAAAATGAAATTAAAAAACTGCATTTAAAAAAGCCGACTTTATTTAATAGGGCATTTACAACAACGTGTTTCGACGACCATCTCGTCTGACTACTTCCTTTTAAATTTGTTTTTGTGTATTTTTTCATAATGTTCCACCTAGAAGTGGAACCAACAAAAAAGCAATATACTTTTTGAATTAATTCAAATAGGTTAATAGCTTCCTGGCATGATGAGGAAGAATGAACCCCTACAAGATTTAAGGAGTGAGCCAAGCACGGTACAAACTCGGCCAGTTCATTCTTTTCTGCAATCCTGGCTTGTACTCCTTTATGGATGCTAGCCATATTGGACCCATTATCATAAGATTAGCCACGACATTGTCCAATATTTAAATCATCAACTGTTAATTTTTCTAAAATCTGTTGACAAATGTCCTCCCCTGTTTTTCCAGCTTCCTGTGTCTCTCAAGTTTTCGTATATAGCTTTATCTTTTTCGCACTCACGGTAACCAGACGCGTGCTGCCCCGATCTGCGATTCCTGGGGGCTTTTTTTTTACGGGGGGAAAATCATCGAATGACTGCTCCCGCCTGGGTGAGGCGGGAGGGAGTGTCAGACTCTTACTGACTAAAAACCACCCCGTTCCTTCTCCTGCACGTCGAGTCGGAGCCCCGGTTACCCGTTAGGTTCTCCGCGACATTCCTGGGGGCTAGCGGGAGCCGGGCGCGTATTTTGAACTATGCTTACGCGGTTCGCGAAATAAATGTTCGTGCATGTCTGTGCACTCCGCTCAGGGTATCGGTCAAGTTGATATGGCCATGAAATTGCTGCACTTGTGCTATTATTTATTCCGTGGTCAAAGTTAAATAGGTAAATGATGAGTTGTCTATTGGTCTGTGAAGTGTGACTTTGGCCGTCCCCTGATTTTGCCGCCCCCTGAATTTGCCGCCCGGGGCATAGGCCCCGGCTTGCCCCCCCCTAGATCCGGGGCTGCCTAAGATAAGAGTATTTATATCGCGGACAAATGCTAGCGAGCGAGCTATTATTGTAATCGTTTGATCGCAGGACGACGCAGATGAATATGCTAATACTTAGGTCCCCAGTATAGCTGCAACAGCGCGCGACTGACGCAGTCCTGCGACAACGAGGTGTCGACCCGGCCTCGACGCTCAATTACCTGATGTTGTCTATAATACTTGAGCTTGGATCGATTTATGACTTTATTAACTTAAACATCACTCCTTTACTCTCTGAAGGGTAAGGCAGAGGTCTATTTTAATGTACTTACTTTTACATTGTACAAATAAGTTATGTTGTCAGTCACGTGTAACTTTTTCTGAGCAGCTGTACTTTCCAATCAATTAAGCATAAGCATTATGTAAAAGAACGTTTTCAGTTCCTTGGTGACACACATACAAGGTTATTGAGATCATCAGAAAATCTTACTTCAAATATTAGTTTGCACTCCACTTCCTTTTTTGGTAATTCCTTCACTACTAAAGCAGCTCGGTTGTGGAATACCTCGCCGATTAAGGTGAGGAGTGCTCAAAATCTACCTCAGTTCAAAAATCTAGTTAAAGGGCATTACCATTCTCTTTAGTTAGTATTTTTAACCAATCCTACCTAGCATGGAAAAACATACACACACCCTCACACACATACACACATACACACACACACACACACCCTCACACGCGCGCACACACAAACACACCTATACGTTTATGTATAGTAGTTATATTTATTTTAGTGTATACATTTATTTGGTATGTAGGTAGGTAGTATTATAATGTATGTATTGATTGGATTATTATTGTATACTAGACGACCCCCTTTTTTCCAACTCCTGATTACTGGCTTCACCCAAAGGTTGTTTGTAAGAATTCGCATTCTGCGATAAGACCGCCCATTGTACACATTCTTTAATGTTTATTTTTCTCTATATGTTTTATGGTGTACAATAAAGTGTGCAAATAAATAAAAAATAAGCACTCCTTTATTAAAACCAAGAAAATAATTAAACACAATCTAGATTTAACAGAAAATCAATTTAGATTTTGTTGAGGAAATGTCACGAGACAATATTTGTTATATTTTTGTATAACCCAGACTCATAAAATTCTCTATATAAAGTATTTAGATACTTAATCTTTTCTATTTTTAGATTGATACAACCTATACGAAATAATTATATTGTTATCCTGTACACCTATGTATTTTTATGGCATAGAGCAAGAAGTAGACGGATCACGGAAAGCAATCGTCATCGCCAACGAACACTCGCGTCATGGTGGTGTTACAAGCGCGTTGCTGATTATTTTGGAAATTTCAAAGTTTGGTCGAGTGGTGGACCACTTCACGTCCGTTTTCTATTAGGCCTTCGCCCCGTGGTATAACCTATACCGGTCAAGCCGGCCCATTCGTAGCAAGGCATAGTTCTCCTGCTGCACTGTACCCATATATTGACATTATGTGCTTAGCTACTGGATGTCCCGCGGTCTCAGAATGTGCAAGCATAGACTGTGATTGTATCAGCGCCGGCGCCTCACCAGCAGCGTTGTGTGCGCACCATTATGTGATCATTTGATAACGACCACCGAGGGAGCACACAGCCTTGTAATCAGCAATCAGTCATTACAGTAATGAGACAAATATTGTAATTACATAACATTCGTTTAAGATATATTGATAAGTTTAGTCAATATTTAATTATTTATAGGTACAGACATTCGACGAGAACTACTAATAGATCAATCACCCTTATTTAAATAGTAAGTTCTTTGTAAGTAATATGTATAAATACATAGTGTTTCATGAAACAGTAGTGTAGTCCAATAAACGTATAGTTTATTGATTCATGGCCTATTCCATTGGCCCTATTTTCCACAACAGTGTCACGTATTACAAGACATATACTATATTCTTGAGATATGGCTTTGTCCTTTCGTTTGTTTTTATCTTGTACGACTACATTATATAACATGTTGGCTTACACCCCTTACCCCTAAGAACACTTAACCTGGAGTACTACTGTGTGATCAGTATATCATAATTATTAAGTGTTAAAATAACTTTGCAAACATTCAGCAGTTGAATACTCAACACTAAATCAATTGAGATGAGAATCGAACGAGTAAAATATTGAAATGTGGCTGTGTACCTACTATATATAATACGTACAAGCAACACAAGCAATACAAGCCGCATGGTCGCGTCCTCGAGGATGCAATTGATTGATGATGTTTGTTGACGCTCGGGTGTCAGTGCGGTGCATGACCAACAATGTACTAATTACTATTGAATCCACGCAATCTGCTCCAATTTACAGTTTACGTCAATACTACGATTCCTTGTAAAATTGTAATACCTACCTTTGACACGTAGTTGTTCCATTAGGAAAGTACTTGTAAGTGTAAGTGTTTACTTCAATTAAGGCAATTATGTTCAGTACTTCACTTAGACAGTGTGCGTAAGTTTGATGAGATTTAAATAGCAGCCGGAGCGCGCGCCCGCGGCCGACGTGAGGCGGAATACTTTCGGTAGATTATAACTTATGCGGTCTGTAGTCTATACACACAGCTCCTACGTCAGCAGATTCAAATCAAACACTTTACAATTTAATTTCATAGTAGATATTAAAAAACGCCGCCACAAAAACAGTTTTTGACTCTACGACGGAATAATCTACTACTTCGTATTGTGATACATTATTAACAACTTATCTATGAAGATGTTGGCGACCTGTTAGTGCTGGTACCGAAGTAAATTACCACGATATGCAACTAGAGATTTCACAATTATATGAAATGCGAAATACTCGGCGTACTCACTGCATACTCATGAAGGATGAAGTGGGCTAACAGTGTAATCTCCACATATTTCTTGCTTCCCACTAGAGATTGTCTGTATCTCGTAGAATGTTTAGATGCCACAAATCAATGTGTCGTTCGCTCGCGCGGTAAGCTCGGAGATAATGTTAGCCTGGAGCTACAAGGGCGCTGCGTCCTTGTGACTCTTTATATTTTCTGCACAATTAAACACCATTCAGAGCTACAGCTTTAAGTATTTCCTATCGGACATTGAAGTAAGGGATATATCGATGTAAGGCAGGGATGCAGGAATATTATATGTGGGGGATATTGTAAGTTTAGGTGACAATGAGGTATTAATGGCTACGTAAATCCATACAAATGTTGGGCTGCACAATATTTCGATGGTACGGGAGCATTGTGCGGGTGCGTGCGGCGGACAGCTGACGACGCGATACATTATCTGTGGCACGAGCGGAGCTTTGCCGCCAACTCGTTAAAAGTTACGATATATTGATAATAAACGAGGTATCGAATCTTCCACATGTAACCACGAGATAACGACTGACAATATACACAATAATCTGTTGTTTGTTATTGCTGTAGTACGCGATTCGCAAGTTATGTATATAGTTAGGTACCCAAAACAAATTAACTAAATCAATTCTATTTGCTAGAAAAGTGGTACATACATTATTATAGATAATACAATTATACAAAATGCCAAATACTAAGTATACTCCAAATTAACTGGACGATACTTGACAACAATATAATCTCTCTCAGATCTCTAACATCATGCAAGAAGTAAGTATATTATGTTCCCGCACTTAGTAAGTGTTGCAGTACTTCACTGTTTTCTCATAAGTAGATATACTTACAAATTACATTTATCAACTGTCTGTCGGTACATTAATTTGTTTATTTACGTGTTATCACATGTTGTAAACATATCGAAGATAATAAGTTAAGGGCTACATGTTTATATATGGACACGTTTAACACTTCGCATTTTTTAAACTTCTTTAAGGATCATTGAACTACTAGATAAAATATTATAAAACTTATTTAATTGTATGTAATAATAAACAATTCGTTATTAAAAAAAAAATTAAATAAAGTTCATTATTTTAACAAACGACGTACTTTGTAGACTTTGTAATATGAGTGTTTCTTCTCAAGTATTAAAGACAAAAAATAAATTAAAAATAATGTGCATAGTTACAAAAAGAAAGTAAATAAATACCAATTCAAGTTGAACAGCACATCCAGAACGCACGTCTGTGGTACATCCAAAGTTCAGGATTCGTAACAATATTAGGGAACACAACACGAGTCAAAATGTTGTTATTGTACGCAAGTGTTGCGGCTACGCGAGCGCTACGCATCGGCTACGCGGCGGCGGCGACACGCGAGCGAACTCCGCCAACACTGCGCTGCTACTGACTACTGAGTGTGTACCGGCGCCGGCTACCGGCACGCTTGTACGAGGACGTAGGTACACTACGCACGGAACAAGGAAAGCTTGCTTTGTGCCCACAGGACAAGTCCCGCCAGAGATCTAGCGACCAGTACAGCTCACTTGGTCACAGCTCATGCACTAGCTGACACTGAAGGTATCCTTCAACTTGATGCAGACTAATAATTATACACATAATATCACGCCTTTTATCCCCGAAAGGGTAGGCAGAGGTGCCCACTACGGCACTTAATGCCACTGTACGATGTAAAATCCAATTTTCACTACTTATATTAGTATAAGTCCCATGTAATAGGGGGTGAGCCTATTGCCATATACCGGGCACAATTCCAGACTCCGTGCTACTACTAAGATTTTTTTAAAACCCAGTAATATTTTGCCCGACCCGGGAATTGAACCCGATACCCCTAGCTCGGCAGTCGCACTTGCGACCACTCGATCAACGAGGCAGACTAAATTATAATCCATATATTACGCTTAACGATGAAGATTGCGATTGGCAGTGATTGGATTGAGTAATCGGGGGTTCGATTCCCGCAAGAAATGATTCTTTGAGTGCTAAGCAATTTTTATTTCGGGTCTTAGACTGGTCTGAGAAAGTTTACACTTACGACGATCGATAATATCGTCGTCGTCAAATATCTCAATTTATGATTATGTAACATCAGTTATCTCACACTAAGCCCACAGTAGCAATGGTCAACTGTAATTAAGTTTCGTATAAGTCAGTGTTTAGTCCCGGCAGTCCACTTCCCAGAGTTATCAGGAGATATGGGTACCTAACATATACAGTATGTCGTAGAGAACTTAGCGGATTACCGGGGCTCCGGCTCAAAGTGCAGGAGTAGGAACGGGGTGGTTCTTAGTCAGTAAGAGTCTGGCACTCCCTCCCGCCTCACCCAGCAGCCATTCGATGATTTTCCCCCCTTAAAAAAAAACATATATAGTAAACAGTGTACATTTCTACAAATAGGCGAGTTAAGAAACGCGCTCGCGTGATCTTAATGCGCGGCTAATCTTTCCGGGATTATATTAAACATGTAATTATGTTCGTCGCTAGTCCGTCTGGCAGATTCCACAGAGTCTGTGTGGACATAGAGAGCTCCTGTTCCTGCTGTTATCTTATCCGAGCGCCGGCGAGTGCAACTAGAACAACTAGTTGCACTCGAGCGCCGACTGGCAAACTATTTGGGCGATTGATAAACTTGATCACCACACACAACTCGAATATTATTGACCTTTCTCTCAGACTCGCCAGCATAATATGTAGATAGTTAATACAAATATTATTATCTACTACGCCATTAGTATATATTCATATATTATATACTATATAAAGCTGGAGAGCTTGTTTGTTTGTTTGTTTATTTGTTTGAAAGCGCTAATCTCCGGAATTACCAACACGATTTCAATGGTTCTTTTTGTGTTGGATAGTCCATTTATCGAGGAAGGTTAAAGACTATAAATCATCATGCTACGATCAATAGGAGCCGAGCAGAGCGGGTTCAACCGCGCGGAAGTACCTAGTCTAAATATATCCTCATATATTTGAGAGCTAATCCTTATCAGCTCTCAGTTTATGTAATTATCGTATCATCGTCATCTTTAATTTTTGGGAACAATTATTAATAACCCATTATATTTATGTATGCCATTGTAAAATCCTGCACGACAGGGTGTCCTATACTACTCGAGGGAGCCACAACTACAATGTTGGCACAGTGAGTGGCGACGTGACTGATTGAACTTACAAAACATTTTCAGTGATCCACAAATTGATATTTCACAGTTACCTACTGAAAATATTCTAATTTGCAGTTTGTTCGCGAGAATATATTTTGTAATTTGCCCAGTCCGGGAATCGAACCCGAGACTATCCACACACACTATTCCACTGGCCCAGTAGGATAAGAAAGATTCTCTGTTTTCATTCAATTATTACGCAATAATTTTAGTTTGACTCCTGCCTCGTCTCATTCGCCAACAAAATATACCATCCACAGAGTGCGTAGTCACTGTGCCCAGTTCACTGCCAACCTTATGCCTCTTTATTTTAGTACTACTTTGCATGAATACAATAGCGAATCCTTTTCAGGAGCGCGTTCCATTGCTCGCTTCCTTTCCGGATAAGGCAGGGGCCGCCGTACAAGGCAAGTTATGAAGCCCCCGTGCGGTGTATGGCCACTTGTTTTTTACGACATTGCTAATCTTTAATTATGTTATCTTGATCTGTGCGAGCCTAATTGTTATTGTAGTGGCTGTTGAGACTTGTGTACAATAGGTAATATATTCAATTGACAGTCCAACCAGCGAGTATGTACTAGGCAGTAGGCAGTAAATATTACATACAAACATGTTGGTTAGATAACGTGCTGCTAATTCCAAAAGTCTACTTGTACTTGCTGTGGAACTGAAATACATTCTCACATTATTCTGTTGACACCTCGAGAGTGGTGCTCTATCGCGAGTTCTGATTCCACTCCTAAATGCCAAAGACTTTATAATGAATATATTTTATACCTTGATGCCGTAACGACCATTTAAACTTAAATTTAATTTAAAAGAAGATTTAGAATTTAAATAGTCGTTACTCGTCGTCGAAGTATTAGACATGTACGTTTTCATCAGCATACGGAGGTAGATATAATTACGATGACAGTTATAATCCAAAATAAAACCTAGACCCGGAAGCCGGAAGGCGACGTACCTATCTAAATAGTCCAACGTATCCAGCAGTGCGAGTGCGACCTGCTGACTGCGAGTTGTTGTTGAGAATTTTGAAAAGAAAGCGAAGTAGGTAATTGTAGCGCATATACACGTAGAATAGATCGTTATGATTTAATTTGGAGGAAAATGGAATGCCTGCTTACGCACAGATGACGTGCGCCCGATAAGTGTAAGTAGTGTGAATGAACAACCACAAATCGCAATCATCATTGTACTGTGGACCGCAGGCCACACTGACTGCCTACGTACGTGGAGTGAGTTGCTACCTAGCCTAGCTGTGGTGCTGGTGGTGACATGTTCGTTTCCCGGGCCAATATTACATTTTATTTTTATTACTTTACTTACTCGCTTAATTTTACGGCTTTCAATCATGGAAGGGTAGGCAGAAGTGCATTCACATCACAAATACAATATTTCACAAGTTGTGCTTGTAATAGGCGTTAAAACTATACCGTCCACTACACCGGGCACATATTCAGCCTCCTCGCTATCAATGAGAGTGGAAATCCAAAAAACTAGTAATACTTTGACCAAACTAGGACTTGAATCCGCAAGAGATCCTTTATTTAGCAGTTATACTTAACACCAAGGAGGCAGTCACATACAGACGTGAGGCTGGTAATGTATAGGGCGCGTCGTGTACGGAACATTAAGATATGGCGCGATAAACATTACTTCATTGGTCTTCGCAATAACGACTAGTACCAGAAACCATTGTAGAGCTAACAATAACTGATACTAAGAAACAACTCAATTATTTTGTTGTAGGTATAATGATTAATATATTGTATGCGTTGATGCACGAGGAAAATGTTAACAATTTTTTATAGTTAGTATTTAGTATAGAACAGACGGATCACCTGGTGGTAAGCAAAAGGTTCCGCCCACGAACAATGAACAAGCGCAATGCCAGAGCAGTTAGAAATACGTTGCCCTCCCTTTGTGAGGGCGGGAGGCGATCGACGCTCCAGTAATTCACTCACACAGTTATTGATGTTTCACACTGGTTTCCTGCTCGGCCATGGTATCACTCCGCCCGAGCCCGCCCATTCGAGCCGAAGCATGGCTCTCGCAGTTTTTTTGCCGGAATTTAGTCAGCTAGGTAAAATGTAAGCATTTCAGTGATTTCATTAAGTAATCATGCGGTAAGGGAAATGTGTGAGAATATCGGCTTAACTTGACAAGGTAGATAGAGATGATTATTGATGTCTATTATACTGCGAACTTCTCATTGTGGATTCGGCAAGGCGTGAGGCGAGCTATAAATTAGAAGTTGGCGCCGCGGCGAGCACCGTGGCGGTCGCGACTCGCATGCTGATTGGTTGCCGCGAACAATCGTCCGCAGGCTACCTGCTCAGTACCTGGCTAGTGTAGCTAGGTACTGCGCCGTGACACCGCCCTCGTGCAGCCTGCACCTACTGCACACACACGACGCGGATGAGCCCCGACTCCTACTCGACATATTATGTTAATATCAGTCATGTATTGTATACACTACGAGTATTATACTGCTGCCTGTTTTTATTATTGTCACATGTTTTATTGATAAGTACGAGATATACATAACTAATTGTTTAATTTCCATTTTTTGTAGCTCTGAGTATTCTTGTCTACTTATCCTTTTTAGATACATTTTTTTTGGTAACTGCAACAGTACGATAACACCATGTAAGTTTGGCTACTAGAAGATAGTGGCATCAAATAGAAAAAAAGAATTCAAGTTAAAATATCTAGCGCTGGTTGAGCATATCACTTCCTTAAACGACGATTGAGGAAATCATTTTTCCTGGACATTATTAGTTATGATTTGCCATTGCTTAACAAAATTATACAGTTCGTAGGTACCTACTTACATACGTAAAACTTTTATCTATATCTACACAAATATTATAAAGAGGAAAGATTTGATATTTTGTTTGAATTGAATGAACTCTGAAACTACTGGACCGATTTGAAAAATTCTTTTATCATAGGAATCCTATATTATCCCTGATGAACATAAGCTATATTGAATAAAAAAGGCACGGGATGAAAATTTCGATGTGTGAAAAAATCTACCAAAAAGCTACCAAATATAGAAACGGGAACTTTGCGTTAAAGAATCTATTAAACCATCAACGTCACAGGAACGGGCACTGTACGGGTAAAACCCGCATAATTTCCCAAAAACTATTAGGTACTGAATCGATTCTGAGGATATTTGTTACAGTCATAAAATGTATCTTGGAAAAGACTAGTTCACAAACCCAAATTTTGCCTAAAGTCATTATTCCACGTGGACAAAGTCGCGGGAAATACAAGTTCTCTATACTTTACATCATTAGCGTTAATATAATATTAATCACTCGCGATTGTTTTGTGGTCACACAAAGCTGCCGAAGGAACCTACCGATTGGAGTGCGTGTTCATTAGTGGTAGCTTGTCCAACAATATTCTTAGATCGATAACATTGACATAAGTCACACAAGTTAGTTAAGTTATTACATTCACGAGTCAGCCGATCGAGTTCCAGCAGTTTCAGGAAATACACATCTACCGCCACCCGCCACCCACCTGTTGTTGTATATCACGGACCTAGGTTGTAGTATTTCTAAAAGAGACCTGGGAGTATCTAAGTACCTATAGTATTGTACTTTGGACTATGTCCCATGTAGAGGTACAATATAGGTACGCGGCGTCATCAGACTCATTAAGGTCAGCAACGACCGCAATGACTGTATATAGTGTCATTCATCTAATCTAAAGTAATTAAAAAAAATAATGAGCTATTTGAAAGTATTTCCAATGACGTCAGTATTATTATTCAGTAAGAGCATCGACTTATTAAACGTTAATTTTCCCTGACTTGTGGGCCGTGAGTCATAGAATGAGGCTGTACATGGACGTTACAGTGGTCCTGTAACCGCAGTGGATCGCGTGCCTTGCGGTTCCAATACATAATAATTACCTACGTCATTAAATGTAATATTACTTACGCTGATTTTGTCCATTACATATATTACCTACAGTGTTGAAATGACCCACTTTCATAAAAAAAGCGAGATGCCGCTACTTTGTCTTAGGAAGGACACTGGCAAAGCTGTCTACAAGCTCCCGACGCGGCCGGTGGCTAGTCAGTACAGTGTTGTAAGATCCAAAGCCCTAGTGCGAGTTGTGATTAGAAAAATGTTTAGATCAAATAGTAAATGTAAATACAAACAAAAATGTAAAAATGTATTTATAAGAGACTAAGATATAAGACTTATGTAAATACGAACAAAATGTAAAGATGCACTTTCTATATTTACTCTTTTTTTAATTAAATGAGGGTATTACATATTTTCGGGCTGCCAAACCAGACAAGCACTATTTCAGTGACAACCCTGCTGAGCTCTGGTTCATTTCAACGCGTACCCACAAAGATACAGTTACCTTCCACTGACCACCGGACACAAAACTCTTATAATTCTTATAATTACATAATATCACGGCTTTTATCCCCGAAGGGGTAGGCAGAGGTGCGCATTAAGACACTTAATGCCACTGTACAATGAAACGCCCACTTTTCGCTATGTATGTTATGAGTCCCATGTAATAGTGAGCCTATTGCCATATACCGTGTACAATTCTAGACTCCTTGCTACCATTGAGATTTTTTTTAAAACCCAGTAGTTTATTTGCCTACCCGGGAATCGAACCGGTGACCTTGCCCGGCAGTCTCACTTGCGACCACTCGGCCGACGAGGCAACAAATAAATTAATTTAAAGTTATACAATGTACGTAATTAGCAAATTTTTCCTCGAATAAGTAGCTCATAAGTACCAAACTGCCTAACTCGTAATATTTAATCAACCAGCTTCGAGTTTTATGAGTCTACCATCATGTCTGCCGCATCATGACCCGATCATACTCAATTACTCACTGAAATGGAATAAGCATTACTTACCATCACACAACACTCGATCAGATGCTTATTAAACTGTCAAACACCAAGCGGTCACCGGTGACCGCAACCTATTGTTCTATAATTGTGTCTATATTGACGGTACTCGACGAGTTAATTCACGTGTTCAAGATAGAAATCTCGCAGTTGAGGATTTATAAATAAAAATCTCGATGTTTTTATTCTGAATTCGGAGATAATTAGCATGTAGCCGAGGTGTAGTCCTTGACAGTGAAGATTCCTGCCTGAAGTAATGAGTATATTGAGAGGTGTCTCTACGTCAGTATTGTATAGCGAGTGACAAATAGTTGGGCGTGGGGAGACACTGCGTCATCTACTTGCTCATTAATTAAATGTGCCTATCACATATTGGGTGAGGTTCGCGGTCAACGGTCCGTCTCACCTCTACGGAACACTACTATCAGTGGCAGGCCATTTGTGGCAACAATTATAGCAATATACATGTCAGCTTTCAATCTAAATGCATTAAAAACAATTTGTGTGAATTATAGCCCAATATCCATATTATGACGAGCAAAATATTGATTCACTGTTTTGATAAATTGTTTATGAGAAAATCAAAGATATACACCAGAACACACATAAACGTAATTATTTAGACGGCTAACGTAGTCGTTAGTAGACGTACACAAAGCGTAGTGTAGATATGCTCCCGAGCAGCTACACAGAACAGCGCTGTATTCGTAGCGCTCGTAGCACTTCGTAGCACATGCTACGGGATTTCTCTCTTCTTTGTTTTTCATCTTTGTTCTATTTTATCTCTTTGTATTTTGATGAAGTTTATTAATAAACAAGAAAATATTGCTGTTCCGTACTTTATTGGCTTCAATTGGTATGTACATATATTTTGTTAACATGTCTCATTAGGTATTTGTTTGAAACATAATTCTAAATATTATGTAGAATAAAAGTTTATAAAGTAACACGCTATTTAATATTTAGAATTTTACATACTCCAGGAATAGATTGAATCAACTCGGCCTGCGCCAACCAAGCCCTGCTTCGAATAAAATTTTATTGCCAAAAAATAAAACCTCTTTATTGTTTTAAAAAACCATAATGTGCGGACACATTAAATCATAAATTACGGACGTCAAATAAAACAAACCGCATTCACCACAGGAAATTATAATAATACAGTTTGTAAATATATTCAGCCTCACAGTAATGTGAGAACATCGATTGAGCACACACTGGTTGCGGAGTAGGCGAGTGGTGAGTGCTGCAGACGATGGCGACGCGGCTGGCGCATGCGGTGGCCGCCATCCTCACCATGATCCTGCTGTTCCTCAGACAGCGCTGTGCCGTGGAAGCCAGTGCCAGCCGTGACGTTGTTAGTATCCATCACCCACTTCTATATAGCACACACTCATATTGTAGAAGGAAAAAAGGATCCATTATTGGTAAGAATAACCTGGGGAGTTGCTGGACAACCAGTCGTAATACTCCTTAGACAATAGTTGTAGTTACATAACGCGACGAGAGGGTCGTAAAGGCAGCCATTACTATACCAATGCCTACCAACATTAGAATCAGCGTGCGCCTTTCTATCACATAAAAACATTTAATATTTAATTTAGATTTACGTAATGTGTAAGGTAAGCAATATGATAGTAAGTAGTAAGTGCCGCACATAGCTTGTAACCTATGGTGCTCAACATATCAGGTGTGTTGTGTATGTACGTGTGGTATTGTTTGTTGCAGAGCAAGCGCGGGTTGTGCGCGTGTCCGTGCGGCGCCTGGTCCCGCGCTGCGCTGGCGATGTTCTCCGCGGAGTGCGTGGCGTGCGCGCGCGCCGCCGCCTGCTGCTACCAGCAGTGCTGGCTGCCCAAGTACAAGCGCGACCCGGAGATAACGCTTGACAACGAGTATCTCGGCCAGCATCCGCGCGACCAGACCGAATAACTCTCACACCCCGCTTCTAGTCATTATTTACCATTCTTCAAACTTACTATTATACCTGTCGTCTTGTACTAAAATGTTAATAAAAAGCGCAATACACCCAACAACACTTTGTTTCAATTTGTGGGTATTTTCAGTCAAGTCGACGAGTAGGTAGTAGGTACTACCAGAATAGGTACGTTTGTTAGATTTTTTTACAGAATTGAGACCTAATTGAATTTTTTTATAGAATAGGAGGCGAATGAGCAGATGGATCACCTGATGGTAAGCGATCAGCGCCGCCCATGGATTAATTTAATTTAATTATATTTATTCATTTCATATTTGTAACTTAAACTACGATACTCTGAGAACCTCAAACGGCGAAAGTATGATAGCCTGATTGGCAATTATGCTTTCGAACCGTTTGGGGTTGAAACTTTAGGGCCGTGGGGCCCAAGTGCACATCTTCTTTACAAAGATATTGTAAAGAGGATGGTTGACACTTCAGGTGATCGAAGGGCTGGCTTCTACCTTGGACAAAGGTTAAGCATTGCCATTCAACGTGGTAATGCTGCCAGTCTTTTGGGCACCCTACCTCACGATAATGATGAGGAAAATTTTTTTTTTGATGCCTTATTATAGCTTATTTATTTATTATTACCTTTTTTTTAAGGTGTAAATATTTTAGTTCATAGTTATTTATATTTTAAGTTGTATATATTTTCATTTAGTTATAGTTGATATTAATTGTATATATAATAATTTTGTGTGATTGAATTTGATATACGATACTCTTAGTTATTATATATAAGATTAAGAAAATAATATCTTAAAACTTATCTTACTTTTAAAGACTGTTTACTAAAACTGCCAAAGATATTTAAAACAGAAATGTATTAGACTAACAAAAATATAAACCTTCAAGGAATCAAGAACACTGCCGCGTGGGTGAGCCATAGGTCCTCCTCCTGGTGGCCGGCACCATGAGATACTTGACATTCTTCTTGTAATAGGGACAAGCGGGCTCGTCGCAGCCAAGCACGGTGGCCTCGCGCACACCGCCCGCGCCCCGCTGCAGCAGCTCGTCTCCGAGAATGAGGCGGCGCGCACACGCCAGCAGGCATGGTCCGCACACTGCCACTGCACACAACGCTGCCAGGAATTCCACCACAAACATTACAGCCTCAGACCACATGGCTACCGCGACAGTATTGTGGCCGTTCCATAAGGTTTCGCTTTATTATTATACATTAAATTATTATGGTATCAGTTGGATGTGAGTCTTGAATACACAAAAACTGGTAATAATAGATAAATAAATTAAAATATTCTATTAAAAATATGGATGTTAGTAAACTATCAACTTCATTCTATATTTTTCTTTGACTCTGACTTTGCACCTAAATAGAGTTTATAGCAAAGAGTAGATATGCACCGAGCATAACTTGCAGCTGTCATCATGTCGCAGGCGCCTATCTCTTTAGATGATATTACTTTTTGCAAGTTTTTTAGTAGAAAGTTGTGAAGTAAAGCAGATAGTTTTAAAATGAATTATATCATATCCGATCCCACGGAGCATATGATCTTTAATTTAAAGCAACTGAATTTTTGATGGGGTATGTCAAAATGTTTAACATATAACTTGCAACATTATGAGATGTCAAAGTCATAAGATCTCATCACTCATCGCTATCGCTGGTAGTCAAAGTTGACGTTTTCGTAAATATGGGACGAGTGAGGATGTGTCGGAAGTTTGTTGAAACAATGAAAATATTATTTTTAAAATAGTAATAAACGATAAAAAGCATTTAGCAACATATCATTCAGTATTTTTGTATTTGTTAGAAATATTTTGTGATTGTTTGGTTAAAGTGTTTAGTAATCATGTCGTCGGGATTAGGCGTATGGTGAGTATTCATATACATAATAAAAAAAGATAAATGTTTAAGTTCATCAGTTTCGTACCTAGCTTAAAGATATGAAATATAACTACATGTAAATGTAAGTATTAGCAATTTTAACATTTCGTGTATCCCTACCGGCAGTTGGATGCAGTCTTTGAGAGTGAATATTAGGTTTTTCGCATAAATATTGATAATATTGTGATTACATTTTCATTATTATTTTATTACTATTATTCGTTTCATTTCGTTTTGTAACAATATTTGTTCTCTCACATTTTAATTCATGGTCACCTTTTATTGTATAATTATTGATTTTCAATAATTAACTTGCTCTGCACTGCAGATAATAAATTGAATAAAAAGTGGAATAAGTCTATATTAAAAAATAGTGACGAATAATGCCCAATAGTTTTACCTAATAATTAACATTTAGCATGTTCACACTGACATGAGTGAGTGAAATATTTGAGTAACATTTAAGTGATGTGTGACAGGTGTATGGGGCTTGTCTGTGTCGGGGTGATGTGGCTCACCTCCCATGTTTACCACCTGCTCATTGATGTCTACGAGCAGTCCGCCGCACTCAGCGACATTGAGTATTCGTGGTGAGACATTACAAACATTTTGTAACTTAAAAATTGTTGATATTTAACACAAATTTGCACATGGCTCAGATCATAAGATGGTGAAGCATTGGTAAGTAGTATCAACTGTGTATTGTCAATAGCTGTGCAGATTGTACCAGGTTGAATTGTGTACCTTTTTTTTTTTTTTTTTTTTTTTTTTTTTTTTTTTTTTTTTTTGAGGATGAGGCATGTTTATTTAAATATCATAATTTATATAACTACATAAATATTTACAACTTAAAATTAACTACAACTAAACTATTAAATAAAAAAGAAAGTAAAAGAAAACAACAAAAATTATACCCTTAATTTAGGCGTCAAAGTATTCGTCCGCATCACTATCACAGGGGAAAGTTCCCAGAAGACTGGCAGCATTGCCACGTTGAATGGCAATGCTTATTTTCTGTCCGAAGAAAAAGCCAGCCCTCTGGTCACGTGTAGAGTCGATTAGCCTACGGGCGATGTCTTTAAACACAGAGTGTGCACTGGGACCCCATGGCCCAAGTGTTTCGACCCCAAACGGCTCAAAACAGTAGTTACCCACTAGATTTGAATATTTACGCCGTTTGAGGGCCTCTGCCGCGGAAGCAGCCGCACCAACGCATGCAGCGGTGCTTAAAAGATGTGATGGCGCAAGGGTGTCTACACAAGTCGCGTCCCACACCAAAGGCCTACCCATCTTCCAAGGCAGCAACGACATACCATCTGGTCTTTTGCCGTCATCACGTACCAAACCATTAGGTTCTAATACGGCTGGTACACCGGCTGAGGCAAGAGCACGACGAATGATGTCGTTGATGCTGGCATGGCGAGCTATGCGGCCTGCACTTCTGCAACAAGAAAGACCATGGTGTCCCAAGCCATCGACTCTTTCTCCACAGTGACAATAATGCGGAGAAACACAAGGAGCACCTAAACGTAGGCATTGTATTGTGTACCTTCGTATTTAATACTTTATTTAAATTGTTTACCCTTTTCCAAGACAAAGGTGTTTAGTAAGAAGCAAACACAGACTTCTCAGTCAAAGAAGGTTAAACTAGAGTCAATTAGACCAGGAACATACTTTTGAACATCTACAAAAAAAAAAAAAATTAAAGCTATTTGCTCATTCCAAGGTGTAAATTCCTATGGAGAATAACAAGCAATAAACTCCATAGGTTATTCTTTTTCAATCAGTTACACAATACAATTCTCTAGTTACACAGTTTTGTTGGTCCGATTGAGTGAGAACAATGTAACACTAGAGACTAGAGCCAAGGCTATTGATGCAATATACATGGTGTGGCTCCCTACTGTTGCAGGTTCTTCAAACTGCTGCTGAACCTGGTGGGCTACTCCACCGTGCTACTGCCCATGTTCATTATGTATAAATATTTGGAAAAAATCAACTACTTTGATAAGATAAGTGAGTACATATTCATAAGGGTCAATTAGTGCCCTGATTATTCAGTTCCAACTCATTAATTAATTGCGCTACATTTTTTAATTATATTTTTTTTGATTATAATTCAGTGTATAACTATATTATTATTACCGACCTCAATAAATATCATTCATATATTATTTCACATACTTATGTACATTTACAGTAAACACACAAAGATATTAAATATCATATTGCTGAATGTTTTGCAAATTTTCTACTTTTTGCTTGGTTACTATGAAGGTACCATGATATAATAATACACTGTTATGTCGCCTGTAGGTGACTTAATTGCTGTTTTTTGTAGTAAACTGAGCAATTGTTTAAGAAGTGAAAATTCGACTTTACTATAAAGTACAAAACTTTTCTATTTTAAAACATGTGTCTAATATTTTGTAGTAGCGTTGCTTTAGCTTAGTAATGTCGAGTAATTAGTTGCATGTGGACAGGAAGTCATGGTAACATGAGCCGAGCACGACGATACATGACTGGTCGATGCCTAGCTAGTCACTACTAATATTCGACTTAATATAATAAGTAAGAATAACATTGTACAAACAGTTGTACAAAAAGATAATTTCTATACGCACTACATGTAACATGATTCGTTTACCTATACTATGTAGTTCTTTAGTTATATGTTGTGTTACCTTTAATGATTCCATTGAGAGACAAAGAAAGAAAGAAAAACTATTTATTTTGCTACGACACACAACAAGAAATTAGAAATACAAAAAAAAACGTATGGTGCGTCGCAGCGCAAAAGGCTGGAGCTCAGCTTAATACGTTTTTTTTTTTATTTCTAATTTCTTGTTGTGACAAGACAACCAATTTGTCAACATTTTACATTGTTGTTATTCATAGCCATAACTCGAATAGTTTCCAGCCGCATTAGGGGCTCATATTTGACATGTTTCACGAGAGTTGATGATACAAAAGCGAAAATAATAAAGAAATATCATGTTATAGGCAACTCGGGGTGGACGTGGCGCGTCTTGTTCTCGTGTTTCGGTGAGCCGGGCGAGCGGCTGCCTGAAACTGCGAAGGTGCGCAAGGACGAGAGTCCGACGCGAGAGGGCGCGCAGCTCGCGTTCTGCTTCATTGGCCTCATGTCCTCATACCTCGTCTGGGGACTTCTGCAGGAGAAGATCATGACACAGGTAACACTCATGTACAAATGTAATGTGCTGTCCAAGTGTAATGTTTATTGTAAATTACAAATAACGCTGAGTTTGAGTGGCACATTTCTGAGAGTACGCCTGTTTTCTGTGAGGCCGTGGTATCACTCCGGTTGAGCTGGACACGTGACAAATATCATAACAAGACAAGATGTGATGTGGGTACAATAACCTGGTTAGTGGTAACTATGCGAGGTTTAACCTAGATACATATACCATGCATACAGAGTATTGTTGTGCAGTTACTCTGACACGATTGTATCCATTTACTACTACTACTTTTACCTAGGTAATTGTGTAATATACACGTCTTATTTCTGTAAGTGCACGTAAAAACTCGCGCGCGAGTTCAGTGACTCTCAGTTCCTTGTGTCCCGCAGGTATACGTGATGCCAGCCGGCAGTACGACTCGGTTCACCGACTCTCAGTTCCTTGTGTCCCGCAGGTATACGTGATGCCAGACGGCAGTACGACTCGGTTCAGCGACTCTCAGTTCCTTGTGTCCCGCAGGTATACGTGATGCCAGACGGCAGTACGACTCGGTTCACCGACTCTCAGTTCCTTGTGTCCCGCAGGTATACGTGATGCCAGACGGCAGTACGACTCGGTTCACCGACTCTCAGTTCCTTGTGTCCCGCAGGTATACGTGATGCCAGACGGCAGTACGACTCGGTTCACCGACTCTCAGTTCCTTGTGTCCCGCAGGTATACGTGATGCCAGACGGCAGTACGACTCGGTTCACCGACTCTCAGTTCCTTGTGTCCCGCAGGTATACGTGATGCCAGACGGCAGTACGACTCGGTTCACCGACTCTCAGCTCCTTGTGTCCCGCAGGTATACGTGATGCCAGACGGCAGTACGACTCGGTTCACCGACTCTCAGTTCCTCGTGTTCGTGAACCGCCTGGCGGCGCTAGTGGCGGCGGGCGCGCGCCTGGCGTGTACCCGCGCGGCGCTGGCCCCGGTGCCGCTGTACAAGTTCTCGTACTGCTCGCTCACCAACGTCATCAGCGCGTGGTGCCAGTACGAGGCACTCAAGTACGTCAGCTTCCCCACACAGGTGACCTATTTTACTACTTTTGACTTATCTGTTTTCGATTATTTGATAACGAACTTAAAGCTACCTAAAGCTAAAAAGTTTACTTTAAACCTCCCATAGATGGCGCTGTTTTGAATTAGATCATTCTATACATTGTAGTTAGTGTCACATTCTTCGTAGTTAAGAAGTTGTCTATTAGTGCAGTTAAACCCTAACTCTGTATAAAATTTGTAAAAATTAGTTAAGACAGAGGTGACACAAGTATACTAAACGATAAAAAGACAAAATGTATTAGATTTGTTTTACCAAACGTTAAAAGCAACGAATGTGACATATTGTTGAATGGTGAGAGATTGGAGTTTGTAAAAGAGACAACTTTCCTGGGAATTACTGTAGACGACAAATTGCAATGGGTCCTCACATTACATCATTAGCGGGACGATTGAGCTCTGCAGCTTATGCTGTCTGGAAGACCCGACAGTTAACTGACATATGCACGGCAAGACTGGTGTACTTCAGTTACTTCCATAGCATCATGTCGTATGGCATTTTGCTGTGGGGACACGCTGCTGACATTGAGTCTATCTTTATCTTACAAAAGCGCGCCGTCAGAGCTATCTACAATCTAGGTAGTCGCGAATCTCTCAGAGAAAAGTTTACGGAGATCAACATTATATGACCGTTCCATGTCAATTTATCTATGAAAACATGTATTTTAGGAAAACCTACAGTTATTTGGTAAAGTGTCTGATAGACACCACTATCAAACTAGACATAAGGATAGATTAAGTCAACCAACTTTGAGATTGGCAAAAGTAAGTAAGTCGTTCATGGGATTCTGTGTTAAATGTTATAACAAGATACCAGGCGACATACAACACCTAAATGAAACAAAATTTAAATCACTATTTACTTTATATTCACCGGAATTTTATTTTACACATAACCTAGTAATGTCATCCAACGAGGCATAGCTAATAAACTTCAAACATCACACACCGATGACGCGCCAAATTCGAATCAAGTTAAGCGCGGCAAATTAAATTGAATGAAGGGTGATAAACTTCATTTACATATATAATAAAAACTTAATGTAGAAAAGCATATTACAAGGTTAATGATTATATAGAGGATAAAAATGCTTGGATGCAAGCTAGTCCGGCTCCACAGGATAACGAAAAACATTGATGTTTTAATGAAATCCTAACATGTAATTAAATAATTAATACAGCTATGTTGCTCATTTGTATTGTATATTGTTTAACTTGCATAATCATTGTAAATGTGAGAGCCCTGTAATTAACTGAATATTAAATTAGAATAGTTGAATACGTTTGTGTCAGCTTGGAGTTGTCATGCTCACTCTAAGGTCTCATTATCCGTGGCGCGTGCAGTGGATCGCTCTATTCCCTACAATATGGTTGAGTTGGGCGGTGCTGGTGTACGTGGCATGTTCGTGAACGGGCGCCGTCAACTGGGACTGGTCAGCTCCAGACTGTATATTTTTTTATACTGTCCTTTAAAGTTATGTTTTCCGATCTCTTTGACTGTATTTTAGTGTTATATTGTTCTCGCACAACCCAAACAACAAAACTATGTAACTAAAGAATTGTATTGTGAACTTGATTGAAAAAGAGTAACCTATGGAGTTTCTTGCTCGTTCTTCTCCATAGGAATGTACACCTTGGAATGAGCAAATAGCTTCACTTTTAATTTTTTTTATTGACGTTCAAATGTGCCTCTCTGGTCTAATCGAAATAAATGATTTTGACTTTGACTTTGAATTAGTAAAAAATGTGGTATGTATAAAATCGCAGGTGCTATCGAAGTCCTGCAAGGTGATCCCGGTGATGTTGATGGGCAAGTTATTGTCACGCAACAAGTACGAGGTGTACGAGTATGTGACTGCGGTGCTTATATCCATAGGCATGATCATGTTCATGTTCGGCAGCCATGACGAGAATATGGGTGAGTGGTTTAGGGAGAAGGGAGGATAGAGGTTAAAGCTCACGTGCATAAATATTTTATAAAGAACACCTTACAATGAGGGCTTTTTTTATTTAAGGGGGGAAAATCATCGAATGACTGCTCCCGCCTGGGTGAGGGCGGGAGGGAGTGTCAGACTCTTACTGATTAAAAACCACCCCGTTCCTTTTCCTGCACGTCGAGCCGGAGCCCCGGTTACCCGTTAGGTTCTCCGCGACTCCGAATCGGTATCGGCCCTATTGGGCCCCATCTGTGGTGGTCTGATGGCTCTTTGAGTCGCGCGCGGAACGCTCGGCGTACGGCGCCGAGCGTTCCGCGCGCTCGGGTCTGTTTCTGGTCGGACGGGGAGCCACCCATGCTCGCCGTCCGCAGGCCCGCGCTTACGGTGGCCGGAGATCGTTACAATGAGGGCTACCACTTTTTGCTTACGAGATGGCATTTTCCAAGGTCTGTTTTCCCAGTAACTGTCAGAATGGAACGTCCAATGGTGTGACATTAATTTTAAGTTCTCTATTGGATGAAAATACGAAAGGTTTCATTAGTCCCGTCTGGTGACCAAACTTTTCATTAAGTACTTTTATGATTTTTAGTAAAGACTATCATTGTAAAGTTGGCTAGACGTTTCTACTGTAGGTTTTTAGTCACTATACAATAGAAAATAGACGTTTGTTAAGATTGTGAGAGGGCTCCTGATATCATTTGAAGGAGTGGTCCTTTGGTCGGTTATAGATGGCAAATAAACCATTAAGTTCGTATGTCTCAGCGTCGGGCGCGATGTCGTGGGGCGGCGCGGCGCTGCTGGGCGCGTACATGGCGTGCGACAGCTTCACGTCGTCGTGGCAGGGCGCCGTGTTCGCGCGCTACGAGTGCGGCGCGCTGCACATGCTGTGCGCCGTCAACGCGTTCTCGTGCGCGCTCACGGCCGCCGCGCATGCGCACCGCGCGCCGCCGCGGGCGCTGCTGCAGCACCCCGTGTTCGTGGCCGACTGCGTCGTGCTGTCGCTGAGCTCCGCCGTCGGCCAGCTCCTCATATACCACACTATAGCACGCTTCGGGGCGGTCGTCTTCACTATTATCATGACGCTGAGACAGGTGAGACTTGCAATTTTCTTGTATGATTATTCCCAAATTATTTATATAGGTAATAATTATATTATTTCACACCTTATGATATTGTTAAACAATATAATTTGATAAGTTTCAAGCCATACTTGACGCTTACCATCATGAGCAATTGTACACGTTGGTCAACGAATTTTTCACCTTGTTCTTAATATCTAGATATTCTTAAATGTGGGTACTTCGGCTCGACCGGAGTGATACTACGACCTCACAGGAAATCGACGTGAAATAGCGTTTGTGTTGTATTTCGTCGTATTACGTTACCAGAGGTCTAATTACTCCCCTCCCTCCTCAATCTCCCCAATCCCTGCATCCTTAAATTTCCAGTCTCCAAAAGGCTGGTGACGCATTTGTGATGCCTCTGGTGTTCCACGTGGGCCCGATTGGTTACCACTGATCCCACCAACGAGGCGTGTGGCAATGAGTCAGTGGTTGGGTGCAGGCGGTGTCGATCCTGTTGTCGTGCGCGGTGTACGGGCACCGCGTGTCGGGCGCGGGCGCGCTGGGCGTGGCGCTGGTGCTGGGCGCCGTGCTGCTGCGCCTGTACGCGCGCGCGCGCATGCGCACTCGCCGCCGCGCCGCGCAGCTCTAGCCGCACTACGCCTCACACAACTACACCATAACACTTCACGCAAACGCTCGCTAGGTGGCGCTAGTGGTCCAAGGTACAGTTTGACCGATCACTATAGACAAAATGGACATCTCATAATTAAATACATATTATATTGAAAAGACACCTTAGTTCCCACTAGAGCCTCTGGTGGCAAACCCACGACCGCTCGCATTATAAGAATATTCCTATATGACCAGTGCTCGAATACTTATCTCATAACTAGATAATTGACATAAATATCCTATCCATGGACTGAATTCCAAAGACTTCCTAATATTCTTTTTCTAGGAGTCTCCGAAGGAGGATCTCCAAAAATCGTGTTTTTATTTTTGCTTTTACTTTAGAACATTTTATTTAATTTACAACTTGCTTAAATGTATTCTTATTAAAGTGAGAGTTTACCAAAGTGACTCACTTTGGCTTTATGGAGAGATGCAACTTCCCTATTGATGAATTATAACCATATTTGGAATTATTCATTAAAACATTTATTTGAGTTTACTCTATTGATTAAGCTTTTAACTACGAAGTGGAAAATCTTTATCTTATTGATTTCGTGGAGACGACGAAAAGTAATATCAGACATAATATTTATTAAATAATTTATTGTAAACATTTAAACCATATTATACAGTTATCGTTTCAATTTTGTCTACATTACTGTTTAGTGCGTAAGCTGGAATTAATGTAACCTCGACCAAACTGCCGACAGATGGCAGTAGTGGACTGTGCATAATAAATGATTACGTACACATATATTTGTTTCTTTGTGTTGAACACAATGCATAGATAATCTCTTACATTACATAGATGTTGGTGCAGGTGGGGTTATTTATTTCCAATTTTAGGTAAAAAGTTCCTACGTAAAGGAATTACAAAAATACTAATACTTGCCTGCTGCATCATTTTAATTTAAGTGTGACAACTGAACTGCCTTTAGCGCTATTACTGCAAATATCGATTGGTTGTGCACACAAAATTGAGTTATATATTATTGAATGGTTTATAGTAAGCTAAGAGTAATGTAAATAGTACCTATCCTACATCTCGTTGGCGAATGTTACACGCTCGACATGTATCGCAATATTCATCAAGTAAATATATACAACTTAAAATATAATCAACGAAAAACTAAAATATTTACACCTTAAAAAAAGTAATAATAAAATTGCTAATGGCATCAAAAAAGTCGCGGAGAACCTAACGGGTAACCGGGGCTCCGGCCGGCTCGACGTGCAGGAGAAGGAACGGGGTGATTTTTAGTCAGTAAGAGTCTGACACTCCCTCCCGCCTTACCCAGGCGGAAGCAGTCATTCGATGATTTTTCCCCCATTAAAAATAAAAAGGCATCAAAAAAAATATTGTCCTCATCGCTATCGTGAAGTAGGGTGCCCAAAAGACTGGCAGCATTGCATAGTAATAATTAATTATAATATAATTGTTATTCTTACGCTATAGCGTAATAATAACAATTATATTAATTTATTTATTAACAAATATAGCGTAAAAAATATTTATAGTCTGTAGTATACTACAGACTATAAATATCGTGATCCGGGGTATTACTATCCAAATATCACGATAAACATCGAGCGTGTAGCATTCGCCATTGGAGTGCCGCAGCCGACTGTACTCGCTGTGTGATAGTCTGATAGTACGCTACTAATATTAATAAGTATTTTTAAGTAAAACTCAATACTTAAATACTGAAAAGTTTATTAAAAACGGATTCTTTTAAGAACACAGCGCAATGCTCTTCAAACTTCCCACCAGAATCGCGCGTCACTCCACTTTGCGCGGGAAACTTTTCTAATCTGTCCCATTTGACAGATGACACCGTCAATATGACAGCTAGTGCTGTCGATAACATAGATTAAACTAGTGACGTTCATTTAGTTGATTTTCGTCTTTTTTTTGTTTTTTTTTTAAGGGGGTAAAATCATCGAATGACTGCTCCCGTCTGGCTGAGGCGGGAGGGAGTGTCAGACTCTTACTGACTAAAAACCACCCCGTTCCTTCTCCTGCACGTCGAGCCGGAGCCCCGGTTACCCGTTAGGTTCTCCACGACTCCGAATCGGCATCGGCCCCATCTGATTTACGTCGTCTAACAGTATAAATAAGGGAATATAAATTAAACTAATATAGGTACTTGGTGGTGACATGAGATTGTTTCATTTTACCACTGAAAAAAGTTACATAATACTAAAGTTGTTCGATAAATAGGTTTACTTACAACATGGCGTACTTCATATTACGTAAGTAGTTGGTTAATGTTTCAAAACGAAGTGAACCTAAGCTTCTACGCAGCCTGAACTGGTAGTGTACTGATCACATTGTTGGAAAACCGTTGATTGTTGAGGTGTTCCGTCTGTAGTGGAAACTGGAAAAACATCCTCTGGTAGGTACACCCTCCTGCTAAATGGAGCCACGAGACCTACTGCGTGGCTGACGGCGGTTGGATATGAAGAGATGAACATCGACATCGCGTTCAGTGGTGTGCTACCGGAGAGATGATCCTTCCCGTGGGGTCAGCGGCTGTTTCATCTCTGTTTTGATTGTAGCGTCTTAATAACCAGCAGCTGTAGCCAAATGCCACTTAGCGCTTGGCTACATGTCAAAGTCAAAGAATTTATTTCAATTAAACCATAATTTGGTACTTTTGAAACGTCAACAAATACAAAATAAATAATAGTCTGTCAGTCAGTCCGTCAGTGAAGCTAGGTGAAGCTAGGTACTCATTCCAAAATGTAGATTCGAATAGAGAAGAACGATCAAATAACTCCATTCATTACTCTTTTTTCCAGTACTGTACGTATATGTGAGAACAATGCAAAGACACGCTTGACGCATTATAGGTACTAATTACAAACCTTACTAAAATAATAAAAATTAAAAAAAAAACTGATTGTCTAACATGATGCTCACATACGCATACTGACAATCTATAAAAATAGTGCTTCTATACAAGAAAAAGGAAACTCTTTGTTACAATAAAGAAAGAAATGCTCGATGCCATAAGGAAATTAGATTGTCTACATTAGAATGAAAGTATTAAATTTTTAAATTTGAGAGATGCGCATCTATGCTTCGCTTGGCGACAGCCCCAACACCATTCTCGGGGCGTTGGCTGAAAGGTGGGACTCTCCGATCTTGGGACTCTCCGATCTTAGGGCGGTGGACTGCATGCAGTCAAGTAGACATTTCCAGGGTCGGCTAGCCTCACGCTTGTATAATAAATAAAGTTACTAACACTAGTTAATAAGTTCATACTGTTACTAACAATAATGCAGTTACTAACACTAGCTTATAAGTTCTGCACTGTTACTAACAAATATGGAAAGTCAAAGTCAAAGCATTTATTTCAATTAAACCATAGTTTGGTACTTTTGAAACGTCAACAAATACAAAATAAATAATAGTCTGTCAGTCAGTCCGTCAGTGAAATTAGGTGAAGCTAGGTACTAGGTTCCAAAACGTAGATTCGAATGGAGAAGAACGAGCAAGAAACTCCATTCGTTACTCTTTTAAAAAAGTATGTTCTACAATGTCTCTGATACATATTTCAATACTGTACGCATATGTAAGAACAATGCAAAGACACGCTTGACGCATTATACTAATAACTTACTAAAATAAAAATAAAAATAATAAAGATCTTAAGTCTAACATGGTGCTCACATATGCATACTGACAATCCATAGAAATAGTGCTTCTATACAAGAAAAAGGAAACTCTTTGTTTCAATAAAGAAAGAAATGCTCGATGCCATAAGGAAACTAGATTGTCTACATTAGAATTAAAGTATTAAATTATGTATTATATTACCTACTATTGGAATTTAACTACTGACTTCATTTGAGTATTGTCCAATGGAGCCGAACCAACATGCTGCCAAGCATTCTTATCTTCAAGATAATCTGTCAGTGTGTAGTAAGCTTGATTACATAATTCGCGCTTAATATATGTTTTAAATTTACTTTCATTGAGATCATCAGAGAGATGACAATTTGAATTGCGGTATAGCTAACTTATTATTGCCTCTAGTATAAAAATTGTGTCTATCGCTTCTTTTTTCAAACAATCGCCTATTTTTCGTTACATATATTGACAGGGAACCGTTAAAATATTTATCGTTTTAAACAATTGTCCCAGCGATTCGCAACGGCGTAAGTTATATATTGTTCGTATAGCCCGCTTTTGTAGAATAAATATTTATTCTATTTCTGCAGCTCGACCCCACAACAAAATTCCGTACGACATAATGCTGTGGAAATAACTAAAATAGACAAGCCTTGCTGTATCTACATCCGTGAGCTGTCTAATCTGTCTAACTGCAAAAGCAGCTGAGCTCAATCTCCCCGAGCTACAATGGGAGAGCGCCTTTATATGCATAAAGGCGCTGTAGCCATTGTAGCTTATTGTGTAAGGTAATGCCTAAAAATACCGTCTCGTCGACAAATTCTAACTTTTGACCGTTAAAACGTTCGTTACTACGCACGTTAGGTAAACTTAATCCATAAACTATTTCCACAAAATCTAAGACTCTCTACGATCTTTCCTGTTTACCATTTCTCCCTTCTTCTAGTTTTGAGTTACGCAGTGTTTCCGAAGAAGATGTCAAAAGGTCAATGCTCGCCGTTAAGTCATCTGCAGTGGGCAATGACAATCTATGCTCCCGCATGTTTCTCCCCATTCTTAATCTCATTATCCCTATCCTTACTCACATTTTTAATTTCTCCTTATTCTCTTGTTCCTTCCCCTCTGCCTAAATCTTCCAACCCTTGCTCACCTTCCCAATACAGGCCTATTTCTATTCTTCCTTTCCTCTCCAAAGTTATGGAACATCTTGTTCATAAGCAGCTTACTTCCTACTTATCTTCTAATAATCTAATTTCTCCATTTCAGTCTGGTTTCCGCCCTGGTCACAGTACCGTTACGGCTCTGCTCAAAGTGACTGACGACATTCGTTGGGCCATGGATAACAAGTCACTAACTATTCTTGTGTTACTGGATTTCAGTTCGGCCTTCAACTCCGTGGATTTTGATATCCTCTTGGGTGTTCTGAAGGCCAACAACTTCTCTTCCTCTTCTTTGAACTGGTTTGAATCATATCTTCGGGGTCGTCGACAGCGTGTACGCTTGGAGGAAGTTTTTTCCGACTGGTGTGACCTCGTTGCTGGCGTGCCTCAGGGTGGCGTCCTTTCTCCTGTTCTTTTCTCCATGTTTATAAATACCGTTGCCAAGGTAATCTCCTCTAATTTTCACCTCTACGCAGACGACCTGCAGCTTTATCGTCACTTCAAACTATCGGAAGTTGGTCGCGCTATCGATGCTGTAAACCGCGACTTGGACGGGATTGATAAGTGGGCCAAGTCCTTTGGTCTCCAAGTCAATCCTCTTAAGTCTCAGGCCATGATCATCGGTAGTCGATACTTCCGCAGCGCTCTGGACATCTCTATTCTTGAGCCCGTGCGCCTAAATGGCACAGTGATCCCTTTCACTGACACTGCCAAGAATTTGGGGGTAATCTTCGATTCCAATCTTCTATGGGGTGCACAGGTGAGTGAGGTCAGTCGAAGAGTCCATTTCTCCTTTCACTCGCTGAAGCGTCTCCGGTCCTTCTTGCCATTTAAAACTAAAATTCTCCTCGTACAATCCTTAATTCAGCCTTTACTCGACTACGCAGATGCTTGCTATTTGGACGTCACTGAGGAGCTACTAAACAAGCTTGAGCGGCTGCAAAACGTTTGTATTCGCTTTGTCTTCGATCTTAAGAAGTACGATCATGGCTCAGTATATCGCAGTAAGCTCAAGTGGCTCCCAATCCGACTTCGCCGGAACACTCGCATTTTATGTCTCCTTTATAATGTCCTTAACAACCCAGCCTATCCTATATATCTCCGTGACCGTTTCTCCTTGGCTCGTCCTCCTGAAGCCCTATCTAGATCCCACCTTAAGTCCCTTCTTGAAATCGTTCAACATAAGACCGATTTCTACTCCTACTCCTTTACGGTTCATGCGGTGAGATTGTGGAATTCGCTGCCGCCTAGCATACGCGACTCCAAGTCCATCTCCATTTTTAAACGACTTGTTAGGGATTATTATCTTTCGTCCTGAAGTACAGCTTTATTTATAACATAACATAACATAACATAACGTCTGCAGGAAGAAATCCCTTAAGGGATATGCAGTACCTATGTACCTCATGTTTATAATGTGTTGTCCTTTATAATATTGTCTGTGTGGTGTAGGTACATAAAATGATAAATAAATAAATAAATAAATTTAATACATTTGGTTTTTTTTCATTCAGTGCCAGATTGTTAATGGTGAACCAATTATGCACTCGAAGAATGGAGCTGTTTACGTCGTCAAAATTATTTGTACGTCGATCTATTTTAAAAATTAATGATGTATCATTCTTAATTCATTTCTAAATATATATGGCAAATCATTTATATAGACTAAAAATAGAAAGAGACTCAATATTGAACCTTGTGAAACGCCCATATTCATCCTAGACCCCTGCGAGTTAATACCGTTAACATGAACTTTTAACTGTCTTTCTTCTAAATAAGATTTCATAAGACGGAGCGCAGAGTTTCTTATCCCGTAGTGATCTAATATCAGCAAAAGTGTCTCGTGGTCAACACAATCTAATGCTTTTGAGAGGTCACAAAATACACCAATAGCATCCTGTGCTTCCTCGCAAGCACCAAATATTTCCTTAATCAAAGTGACACCGGCGTCCGTTGTGCAACGACCTTTAGTGAAACCGTATTGTTGTTGGTGAAAGATAGAATGTTTATTAAAATGATGAAGCATCCGAGACAGCATTAACTTTTCAAACACTTTGCTGAGAACCGGCAAAACAGATACTGGCCTATAATTGTTTGGTTCTTTAGTGTCACCACTTTTAAATAGTGGGATAACTTTACTATATTTGATTAGGTCAGGAAAAACACCGTCGTCTATACATTTATTGAAAATCACAGCCAGATATGGCATGTAGAATAGAAAACCAAATTATATGGGATTGACGATGTAAATTTGCATGTTCGCATGTTCGACGGAGAGTAAGTTCGTATGATATCCTTACTAATATTATAAATCGGAAAGTGAGTTTGTTTGTTTGTTCTGCTTTCACGCCGTAACTACTTACTAAACCAATTGCTTTGAATTTTTGCAGACGTAAAGTTGGAAGTCTGGATTAAATAATAGGGTACTTTTTATCCCGGAAAAATTTTGATATTCCCAAGGAAAAACTAAAGTATTGGTATAGATGGCGCTGTGTGTATTGGTATATGTCGCATAGGCTACTTTTTATCCTTTGTGACGCGAGCGAAGCCGCGGGTAAAAGCTAGTGTATTATAATAGTAACCGACAGCTCTTAGTCTGAGGCGCTTATAGTAGGGATAAAAACCGAAGAATTTACGTAATAATATTAAGTTCCATGGGTCCCATAAACAAATCTTAAATACAGGATATAAAGAGTACCTATGTATTACATAGTAGTGCATACCAAAGAGTATTATAAGTATAGGGGAAGTGCATACTGTTGACCGACATACTGGCCAATCAATCGCGGTCACTATAGAAAGAAATCTGTCCAATAAGCAGCTGTCAGTTGGTCGCACCCAAGCCGCCAAATGTTGCGGTGCGCCGTTATTGCCATTATTTCATCATCCGTGCAGTTCCCGATGTGAACCATGTTCTGGCTGGCCAACCCCATTAGCATCAACAACTACTATGAGTTTAAGCACTTTGAAAGCATTCTGTTTGAAAAATAATGGTAAATTGTCAGTATACAATGACACACGCCGCACACGCGCCATTTTGTAAGTAACGTCTTGTAAGAAACATCTTCAAATTTCACAGTGCTCATAAAATTACACGAGTGCCTGTAGGCAGCTGTATGTAGGTAGGTGTGGGTACTTGTCATGTTAGCTTACTATGTGTAGTAAATAGAAATAGCATGGGTTTGCTTTTCGCAAGGGTAGTGAGCTCTCCCATGTCACTTTGTTCACAGGTCGCTAAAGTTAGCTTCTATCTTAAGCAAATCAAATCAAATCAAATCAAAAATGTTTATTTGCTAAAATACAAGTACAAAAGGTGTTACAGTAAAATTTTTTTCCAGCGTATCCTGCCGTATATGGCGTGCAAATTTATTAAAATTACACTATCAAGATTCTATCGTCTTATCTTCTAAATAGTCCTTAATACTATAGTAACACTTGGATAGCAAAAGTTTAAAAAGCATTTTCTTAAATAATGTCAATGGTAATTCTTGTCAACTATTTGGTAATTTATTATAAATTACCAGCATAAAGCATAAAGTTATCTGGAGACCAGTGGCGAATTAATCAAGCGCACCGTCCGTAGCAAATTGACTTGTACAGGGGCCCCTAGAAGTATTGCACTATAGACCTAATCGAATGTAGTCGTAGAAGAGATCATGCTTAAACTTTTACGCTCTAAAAAGGCGTTAATGAGTTTAGTTAGCTCTGATGAAAAGCGCGCAAATGCTAAGTATTCTTGCGTGGTTAATTCGACACTGAGGGATGTATTCCTATGTTAGCTTAGTAAGGCGTATTCATGAGGCATGTCTGTGTGTGTGTGTCAGCTTGCTAGGCATGCTGGTGCAGCTGGTGGCGAGCGTGATGATAGTGGCGGGGTTGGCGCCGTGCGTGCTGCAGCGCGCCTGTCCCGCGCGCCGCCCGCGCCCTCCTTCTACCGTCTGCATGCACCGCATCCCCTCCATTAAACCTGAGCGCCTAGTGAGGTGTGAAGACAGGTAACCTATTGTAATTTGTCAACCATTCCTATTGAAAACAGAAAATGTTTTATCATCCTAATGGTTAAAGATGGACGGTTCAACATAAACTTACACCGAGTAGGTACCTAGCCACGGTAAACTCATTACGTGTGACGAAATAAGTTGGCCATGTTTACCGAATTCGCTTAGATATTGTTCCTGAAATAATTTCATGTAGGCCCTTTTACTTTGATGTATTGAATGTATGTTCTATCTCGGAGGAATGTTCCTTATATATACGGACTGCATAAATACACGATAAACACAAATAGATAAGTAACACATAGTCCTTAGTCATGCGGGGGCTTGAGACGTCTCACCAAGGTTCATTTCATTTGCAGAAAAGGTTCTAACATGAAGAGAAAGAGGATCGCTTTATAAACTGGAAACTAAATTCTTGCGTCTGCTTCACTTTTATTTGCTTTTTGATGAATTTTGAACCTTTGGATGTATAAGTAAGTATCGTACCGATAAGCCAGCAGTAGTACCCACCTACCTATTACAATTTGTATTAGTTGAAAACTGTAAAACTTTCATTCATCAAATAAATGTACCTTACAGAGTCTAGCTTCTTTCTGCAACTTTACACATACATTGTTAAGTTACAAACAATAGTGCCTACGTAGTACGTACATAATGGATATTGATAGGAAGCCGACTGACGACAGCAGAGAGCGCGACCTGTCGCAGTTCCCACAGCGTCCGGCAACTGTTTGTAGCAGAATGTGAAGCGGCATATATTTGTGAAACAATGGCGGCGGGATATTTGGCGAGTGATGGGCAGTGTTGTGATACCGCGTCCGTCGCCTGTTTACTAAACAAACTGTCGTATTGTTTCATTATTTTCATAATTATTGCCCCCGTACCAAGCTATCCTCGGGTACTTTGTACGGCGAATAATACAAAGTTTTTATTATTTCAGCTATTTCAGTTTCAAGGATAATTATCTATTACAAGTGATAGAAGATAGGGTTGGTCATCTTTAGTTCTAAGGTATAGGGTTTGTGGTACGTATTCTAAAATATCTGATTTCATAATGAGTAGCTAGATGAAAAGTTAGGTAAGTAGGTATGTATGAAGGCCGTAGCTAAAACTGCTGGTAAATAAATTAGAACAACATTGTGTTTTATTGCTTGCTCATTTGTTACAGTAGTTTTATCTTCTAGAAGGGAGACTATTTGTGCAGTTTAGCGTCACGTATATGTTTTATACGAGGCACAAATAGTGTGGACTTCCTATTTAATATAGATTTATAAACAAAACTTTTAGTTGTAAAATTATTGTAATAATAATGGTGTAAATTTTTTCAGTAAATATCTCGACCAAGTGTGACCGCGTGTCGCATCTTACCGCGCGGAGTGCCGCGGTAGCGGGCGCGGCGATGCGCGCGTGCATAAATGAGGGCGCGCGTGGTGTCGCGCGCGAGTGGTCCTGCGAGCGCAGCTGCGGGTGCCGCTGGTTGGTGTGTTGCTGCATGTGCCACTGCGCCTGTGTCCGCCGCCGGGAGCCGCCCGACCCGACCCTCACATGACTTGCTCCCAGGCGCTAGCGCTGCTTGCGCTCGTCGCCATCTCGCAACAGGTAACTTTAACACTCTTTCTTCACATTCAATTTAATACTAAATTATTTTCACATGTTGACACGGTTATCAATTCTGATTTCTAAATGGAATTAATTAAGCGTTTGAGACTTAGTGGCACACCTATCGAGGTTGAGTTGAATATTTTTGAACCCATAATTTTCCTTTGAAATCACAATAAGTCGTGCTTAATTGATTTTCTTTGCCTTAGGTACTGAGTTAATTAAATTGAGACCAATTAGATTGACAACAGTACCTAATTTCAGTGCTGCCTTTAATTAATTTCTGAATCTTTTGGTTTTCAGGCAACAACAGGATGCAAAAATTGTATAGTAAGTACTTAATTGAAACATTTAGGTACTTGTTTAAGCATATTAGGCATTCCTACCTAATAGTCATTAGGTAAATCATTTGAGAAAATTGAATTCATTCGGACTGCCTCTGTGGGTTCAATTTCAATCTTTGAGTCAGTTAAGCATTCACCAGTTAGACATTTTCAGTAAGAAAAAATTCTAAGCAATGAAAAATGATGTCTGAAACTGAACTTCATAGGATTATTAACGAAAAGCAGGTGCGATCACGGTTTTTATTTCCCGAAGGAGTGACATTACATGTTTATTTTACTATTTTACCTCTTCGTACTTGAAAGCACGAGAACGAAGCTCATAGATTTTTCTAAAGACAGTTTATGAATTGCATAACATTATTGAAGAGGCCTATGTCCAGCTGTGGACGAACACGAGCTGATGATGGTGATAACTTTAGTAAGCTGCGGGCTACTAGCTGCAGTAAGGGTGTCTTTCGGAATTTTATACGTCGCATTTTAAATGGAACTGTTCAACAATTGAGAATTGCATCTTCAAATTAGCATTGTAGCGGGAAGCTTACATACAAACAGACTTAGTTCAGTTATATAATAGGACTTGGTTATGCGTGACTGCGTGGTTATATGTGGAGGGACAATGTTGAGAGTGCTGGTAACTTGCAGATGCTGGGTAAGGAGGAGAAGGCGATGTTCCGCGCGCACTCGGACGCGTGCGTGGCGGCGTCGCGCGTGGAGCCGCGCCTCGTGGACGCCATGCTGGCCGGCGAGCTGCTGGACGAGCCCGCGCTGCGCAAGCACGTCTACTGCGTGCTACTCAAGTGCAAGCTCATCAGCAAGGACGGCAAGCTGCAGAAGGCCGCCGTGCTCGGAAAAATGGCGGCACGACCTGACGCTAAAAACGCTACCAAGGTTCGTTTGTGTTTTCTAACTCCAGTAAATTAGCATGTTTTTGGAATAGTGCGACAAACTAGCAGACGGTCACATGACAGTAAGCCATCGGCCCACGACACCAGAACAGTTACAAGGGAATTCCTGGCTGACCTTTTTAAGGATTCGAGATGGGGAGAGATTAGGCCTCCGTTCTGTTTACTTCACTCACACGACGTAAAACAACGCTAGCATCGTTTCACGGTGTACGTCTGTGAGGCATCATGCCATCATCACCAGGTATACATGGTATCATTTCGGTCTAGTAAGCGTGGAATTTGATATGCTGCATTGTATTGGCGATGATGCCTGAGATAAATGAGTAATATTCCTCCTAGAAGAAAATCAATCAAAATTTTAAAAGCTGTCGTACTGTTCCAGGTTCTTGAGAGCTGTGCAGATCAGACGGGCGATACACCTGAAGACCTGGCGTGGAACCTCTTCCGCTGTGGCTATGACAAGAAGGCGCTGTTGTTCGACTACATGCCCACTAACGTCGCCAGCGAGACTGACAACAACTCCTAACTAGTTCGTTGTGCTCTCCAGAGGTGGCGCTGTTAATAATTAGCTTTATGGTTTATATTTAGTTCAAGAGATAGCACTATGTAACACTTGTTTCAGTTCATGAATATACCTTATACCTTCGAACCATTGTTTCCAAAATATTTTCTTTATCGACATTATACCCTTGCAAAGTTATATGTGTCATTATATATTCACTAACAACAGGGCATGTGTTTCATTTGGAAAAATATTATTATTAATATCGGAAGCATTATTGTAGCAACAAAGTTTACGGGTTGCCTCAAGTGCGGTACCGACAGGTATATAGGACATAGTTTGAGCTACCATTGTTTGTTTGACGCGGTCAAATATTTAGGCATTCAAAACTCTTACACACCTGACGCAAGGCAACGCATAACTTCACGCTAGTTTCTGTAATTGAAGTAAAGTTGTATGAAAGATAATGATTGGATATTAGGAAAATATGGACACAGAGATAGTTTGGAGCTTGAAATAACAGAGGCTATTTCAATTTCTTATTCCGGCAATGGGGCCGAGCCACTGGCAGAAACTAATTCATAAATTAATATGTTCGTAATTTTTGTAAATCTTATAAGCTATTTCTATTTTGTCCTATATCATCTGCGACCGTACCTTACAGGTAAAGCACTTTAAACGCAAGAACGTGAAATAATTTATTTCCTCTTTAGTAATAAGAATTTATGAGCAAATTAAGTACTAGCATAATTATGTAAATAATCCGCGAGGGAGTCAGTACATGTTAGTTGCACCGAGTTAAGTGTAAATGAGATTCGAAACAGCTTTATGATCTCATTGCGGGCGGTGGGCGGTGACCCACAAGCGATACAGCCTCAGTAGGCAGTACGAGTGCATGCCTTTGCCTGCCCTGTGCGTTCCATGTTGTCTGTGACTCGTAATATGATTCGCGCGCGCTAGATTTGAATTTAGAAACTCATAAAATATATGGTTGTCAGTAAATTCAAGCTGGCTGTGTGATATTGTTAGTGCCGTGTAACGTTAATTCTGTGTATAGTTGCTTTCTTATGAATATATTGTGTACTATTGAAAGATGCAAATATTAACCGACTGTGAGTGAGTGCAAATATTATTGTGATGTTCACGGGATCTGCCTGGTGCGTTGGATTCTAATGTGTGGACTAAGGAGTGCTGACAAATCTTTTTTTAAACGTAAGTTGGTAAATATAAATAATTAGTGTTAATTTTAATTTAATAATAGAGAGTTAATGTGTTATGTATAGGCTGGTATATTTGTAGAACATACAGTTTGTAAATTAATTGATTAATTAAGTAATCAATCATTATTTAACTCTTCTTTTCACGCAGCCCGTATGACGCAGGTTCATCAAAAATGGTCTACCTTTCCAAGTTTCGGAACAGTTTTGCGTTAATTTCTAAATTGCCGATAAATCTTCGGATAATCACATGATAGGTATAACTTATGTTACTAGTAATTTGTTGCAACAACAAACATGCAACGAAACAGCTGCTATTTACTAATTTTCCCGACGAACTTTCCAAAATGTGCTTTACCGGTCCGTAGAACTGTGGACCTTAAGCAGTGATTTCCAGGGATTAACAAATGCAATCAGATTTATGAATTTCAGATTAGTACAGACTTATAAAAATTTTATCTTTTCAAACTTCATCACCAGTTGGAAACATTGATGCGATAGCGAAGGCATAGACTAGCGGATTTTGTCTTCCTAGACTGACATTCACTGTCGAACAAAAGCATTCTATCCCTCGGAGTCGCGGAGAACCTAACGGGTAACCGGGGCTCCGGCTCGACGTGCAGGAGAAGGAACGGGGTGGTTTTTAGTCAGTAAGAGTCTGACACTCCCTCCCGCCTCACCCAGGCGGGAGCAGACATTCGATGATTTTCCCTACTTAAAAAAAAATCCCTCATCACCCTTAAAATATTAAATCAATACGAGTTTTAATTACAATTATTTTAAAGTTTACTAGGATCACCTGCTGTACAGACGCGGTCAGCACATCAAACTACCCCTAAACTGTCAAAACTCTGCAATAGCTTTTCTTTCTAACTTTATTACCAAAGTGTAAGATTAGAAATTTCTCTAACATATTTGACAAATATCTGGTCTGTGTACTAGCACAACATTGCCGTTCTGCATATTTGTGTCCATGTGTACCTCCCACTGGACAAGCTCTGGGCTGGTTATACGAGCCTACGTGCAATTACAGCTGAACATGGCAATATCGCGGTCCTTGAGCATGCGCCGTAATGGCTCCAAGGATTTGCACTCAATTTGCATAACTTGACGCTATCGAGACACTGGTCGCTTGTTGCTTACCACTCTTTACTTATACTAGTATTGCAGCGCTGCTGCAGTTGTTGTTATGTATAAAATAAGACTTTGTTATTTACCTTCTAATATAAAGAAATGCTTTAGCTGGTCCTAGGATCAGCAAAATATTTCGTTTGTTTGTACAGTAACGATTTAATTCCCGGGAAACTACTACCTTTACGATTTACGGTTTTAATATCCAAGCAAGTCATATTTATTAGTCTCGAATTTCGTAACACGCAATAACTAAGTAAAATCCCCCATTTTACGGCTGATATCTATATTTGATACACTTCTCCTATACCTACCTACATACTTATACTCTTAGCCTAAAATTCAGAGTCATTGATTTAGACTGGCAATGGAAATCGACCGACGTAGATGACCAAAGACAGACTTACAAACATAACTTCATAACATCGCGGGTATGCGGCTCCGGCTCGACGCGCAGGAGAAGGAACGTGGTGGTTTTTAGTCAGTAAGTGTCTGACACTCCCTCCCGCCCAGGCGGGAGCAGTCATTCGATGATTTAAAAAAAACTTCATAACACACACCTATTACGTATAGTTGATTTGCTTTACATTGGATATAAATATGTTTTTATTAAGATTGATGTAATATGATGTCTCCTAGAACAGTGACAGCAGGGGAATCACGAGGCGTGTAGCAGCGCCTTGTTTAGCGGCAGATACTTCCAAACTCGTAGTAGTATGTAAATAATGACAGGTTGTTATGTCGGCTTTGGTAGAAATGTGATCAAAATATGCCTTTTATTGCGTTTTGCACGCGGCTCCGCCCACGTGGGAGATCCTTACCTGTTAACTATAGCAAATTGGACAAATAACATCATCGATTTTCATTTGATTGATGGGGATGAGAAAAGCTAATCTATATTTGGAACAAATAACTTAGACTTTTAGGAAAGGAAACAATATGCACAAAAAATGTTTTAGTGAGTTTTAACGTGAATCTGAACCGATGTTGATGCGGTTTCACAAAAGTGTTTGGTACACTTAGGAGAAGACTTTGGTATATTAAGTAATTAACCGACTTCAAAAAAAAAACGGGATTGAAGTAGTTATTTACGTGTTAACGGTTGGCCACTATCTCTTATCTAAAAGTTACTTAGTTTATTACTTGTACCATTAGGAGTCACTTTCCACATTCACCTATTAAGACTAGCCTGGCTCTTATTAGGCAATCGTGACTCAATTCAGATCCTAATTATTATCTGAAAATGGCGGCGATTGATTGTAAACATCTGTAATTGTAATCTCTGCTACATTATTTATACATTGAGGTTTACTTTAATGGAATGAATAAAGTAATTTAGGTACTTTAAGTTGCCAGTGCAGTTGGTACTTATAGCATGACTAAGTGGAGCCAGTGGAGTCTAGTGGAGTAGAAGGAAATGATTAGAATTATGCAACTTTGTCAAATTATTTATATTACCTTCATACATTCCCACGACATAGGAGAGAAATTTTAGTGTAGGGAAACGTTCATATTAACTCGTCGAGTACCGGTTTTGCAGACACAATTATAGAACAATAGGTTGCGGTCACCGGTGACCGCTTGGTATTTGACAGTTTAAAAAGAAAAAAAAATATTCTATTTAATCTGTGTTGTTATGTGATACAAAGATGTAAAATATTATTTATCAACTTTCGCATGGATATACAGTAGTAACACTGTCTTTTTGACCGTGCAAAAATAATTAGATCTCACGCAGAACCAAGTTTCTAACGTCTTCGCAGTTCATAGCGCGTAATTCGTTGAACGTAGCTCGCAGCGCACAGTTCTTAGCTTGTAGTGCATAGGTAATAGCTTGTAGCGGGTAGTACGTAGCTCGTAGTTCGTAGCTCATAGTGCGTAGTTAGTAACGCGTAGCTCGTAGACCGCATTTCGTAGCACGTAGTTCGTAGTGTTCGTAGCAGCATATTACCCCTATTAATTTCGTAGGCGTGGCAAACCATAGACTCAGTTAGTGAGTCGACCGCACGGAGAGAGTTTACAATCTTTAGTCCTTAGTCAAAATACGTGACGTATTTTGTTTCTTCAATTAACAGAAAAGCATTAAAAATGAAATACATTTTAACACGTTAAACGCCATGGGGGTCACCGGTGACCGGCGGTAGCGGATTTAAATTCAACAGATTTTTCTTTGGCAGTCAAATTCTTAAATTCAAGCTCTCAAATTGTGATAGTATGTGATGTGATAGATGATGTTTTTATGTCCTGTCTGGAATGAAAGTGTTAAAGTCGGTACTTTTGTGTACAATCGGCTCTATAATATTGTTGTTGTAAACAGCATTCTTGGTTCCCCAATTTTTGATACGGATAAAATGTTATATAAATTAAAGTCAGCAGAGCATTTTGTTTATACCAAAAGTAGCGTTAGTTATGTATAGTTTTGTTTAGCCATGCATTTTCTTTCCATGCAGCTGACTTGCCATTTGAGTTCATGATTTGTACATCTATGAGATTAATAGCATGGGACCTGGCTATTCTGAATGTCTTTCTCAGTCAAAATGCATTTAGTTTCGGTTCTTGATATTTAAATAATTGTAATAATATTAGTATATTACGATAGAGCTGGTGCACAGACTGCTTAGATGTTACGCCCGTAACTTGCAGTGTAATGGGCCACCGACGGGCCGCGTGGGCTGGCTATCTGCGCTTATAACATAGCTCATAAAATTATGCCTCCAATTATGCGCTCAGACGCCAATTGCTAAATAAAGGATATCAATTCCAAGCTTATGAAGGGCTCGAGATAAATATCAGATAATACGTATAGTTGTTGGTACTTTCAAGGTTTTACATATTTTGTATCAACATTCAAATAACGTTTAAGCTACAGTACTA